TAATGGAAGAGCACAGCATGAAAAGTAAGCATTGCATGAGCAGGTGGCTTGGTTCTCCCAGAGGCTCCAGGACTGCAACTGACCTGGGCACAGAGAATGTCTTAGGGCAACTGCCCTGTTCTGGGCTCCTTTTCAGAACAGATAGGGAGCAGCTGGTTCCAGCTGGGTGTGCATGCTGTCAGCTGGGCAGTCTTCTCTGCTCAGCTCCAATGCAGGGCTTGGGGAGCTGCAGGGGGGCTGCAGACATTGATTTAGGTATCCTGCTGGAAATCCTGTCCCTACTGTTGTACAGAAAGCATTTTCCCCAGGCCAGCAGACTGCAGTGATCTAGGATCTTGTCCCCTCCCAACCTGTCCTCCCCATGTGACCTAATGACAGTTAGGACTCGGTTATCTAGGCCGATCTAATGATGCCCACTCGGGTGACCAGGACGAACTGGCTTAGCAGAGTCAAACAGTCTTCTCTATTGCAGGATCGTACTGTGAAACTCCGAGACTGTGTTAATAAAATTAACCTAGGATCAGGGAGTGGAGCCAGTGACCAGCTGACAGGAATTAGCCATAGAGAGGATGGAGGAGCCAGGAATAGGGATAGAGAGATGCACAGGACAGTGTAGGAAGAGACTTAAGAGATTCATGGTCTTTTTGTTTCGGGACACGTGGAGAGATGCTTCTCTTACTGGGTCTCCAGCCAAAGATCAGTTGGTTGCTTCTCGGCTTCTCTGACCTAGCAGGTTTTCACCCCAACAGCTGACTCCTGAATCTTTATCTAGAACAATAAAGAGTTAGTTAAAACCTACATTTGGTGGCCTTCGCCAGGCCTCGCTCTGAGTGGTGATGTGTTCATGTGGGGCCATGGGGCGCAGAGAATAGTTAAAATATCAGTAGATTCAGGCGTGACCACTAAGCTGAGGAAAAAACACTTCTCTGACACATGTCTTGAGCCAGCACACAAAGGTGCTTGCCCTCAAATACACTATGCTTCCATGTCTATGTCTGTGAAAGAACTGCCCTTCCTCCTCCCTCTCTAGTTCAAACTCCTTTCCATTTCTTGGTTAGCAAATTCTTCAAAAAAGTAGCCCTCTGGCTCCTGTGTTCATTTCCAAACTTTATAAGCGAATGGAGACTTAGCACACCCAGATTTTGTCCCCACTCTCTGCTCTGATTGAAGCCACCTTCCGTCTTGTTCAGCTCAGGTGTCATGTCTGGCTGGTCTGCTCAGCAGCACTTAGAATTGATCAGTCCTTAATGTTTAAACTTATTATGAAAAGACACTACCAGCTGTAAAAATCCAGGGAGTCCCGAGGCCACATGGACTCCCATCTAGCACCACCTCAAGGCTGGCCCTTCCCTGCTTTCTCTTTGCTAGAGAAACGACTAAGCTAGCAGGGGGTGGCGCTAGAGCACCCCTATCTGGATTCCCTAATGTCTCAGAATCGTCTGTCTGCATCTGGTCCATGCTTTGCATTTGGTTAAGTCTTTCAAGTCTTTCCATCTGTACTGGCTTTTCCATTGTCTCATGGGAGAAACCAGGTCATCTGTTGATGGTATGACCAATATCCTCCACTTGGCCGATATTTCATGGTTCTCTGTCATAGTTCTGTCATGAGTGGTGAGCCCTGCATCTTCCTCCCTCCTCACTGAGCCCCTCTTTTTCTTCAGGTCCTCATCACAGCCCCTCCCACGGCCTTGCAGACTCTTCTCTGGGCTTCCTCCTTGACCTTGCTTTCTCTCTTCGCAGTCCTGGCCAGTGCCTTAAACATCACCCTAAATGACCCTAAGATTTAAAGGTCCCCAGCCTAACTTCTATATCAGTCAGTCATATCTCAAATGTAGCGTGACCAGATGCACCATGTCCCAGGCATCCCCTTCCCAGACTTCTCTGTCTCCTGTATTACTATCACCAAGTTGTTCTGGCTAAGATCTTAGCGTTATCCTGGCTCCTGGATTGCTCCCTGACCCACCTCTCTCCACACAAGACTCTTTGGCCCCTGTGACAGCATGCTACCCCACTTTTGTCTTCATTCTCTGCCCCATCCTAACTGAGTGACTACATCCCCTCTCACAGAGTCCTAGTTGGAATTTCTGCTCCCCACTGGCCGTGGTATTCACCTCAGTGTATGAGGGTGTCCTCAGTTACTGGGGCTGGAAGGGGGAAGGAGGAAGAGCTGTTCCATGGGTACAGAGGCCCCCCTACTTGAGAGGTTCGGTACAGAGGCCCCCCTACTTGAGAGGTTGGGTACAGAGGCCCCCCCCACCTGAGAGGTGAAAAGCTGCAAAGGTGACCGGAGGTGACGATTGTACATTATATCAAGTATTTAACAGTTGCTTAACTACATACTTAAAAATGACTATGATAGCAGGGGTGGTGGTCCACACATCACCCTAGAGCTCAGAAGACCGAAGAGTTTATGAAACCCATCTGGGCTATAGAGCTAGACTCGATTAAAAAAAAAAAAATGTCTGTGTATCTTATAATCTGAAAAAAAAAAAAAAGAAAAGAAAATGAGACAATCATGTCACCCTTCTGCTGGGAATCCCCCAGTAGCTGCCCCCAGTAGCTGCCCACACCCCCAGAGGAAAGCCCGGAGTCCTAGCGGAGTCCCACCAGGCCCTCTGCCATCTCGGAACTTGCCTCGCCCCTCTCCCTGCTCACTCTGCTTTGGGCTCCTTGCTACTCTCTGAGCCTGGCACTGATTCTCCTAGACCCTCCGCTCTTCCGGCACCCCATCCCCGGGAGCTTCTCCTGAATCGCGGTGAGCAGACTTGCCCTCCCGTCTCCAGGCATCCCCTCCTCTCCTCTCATCTTGTTCTGTTCTTTCTTCACAGCACTTAGCCCTGCCTGGCATCCCATTATGTAACGGGGTTGTTTATTGTGCTTGGAACCTTCTCTTGCCTAGGAATGGGCAGGCTGTCATGAAAACCACTCTGGGCTATGTTTAGAGAAGAGAGAAGAGGCTATTCCTTAAACAGTTGCTGAAATTGACAAAGTAGAAGGGATGTGGCTCTCGGGACCAAATAACAGCCACATTTATTGTCGAGTTAGATCTGTGTGACAGGATTTGTACCCATCTCTCGTTCTAGCCTGGGCTGATGCGGGTGAGGTCTGCAAGAGTGTGTAGGGCCTGAGGAGGGAATTGTTCTCCCCTATGCCTGCTAGACTCAGCGGGGGGGGGGGCAGATTTCTGTAACAGAGGGGACCAGGTGCCACCCCAGAGACTGTGGTCCATCTAGGAGACTCCCACTTGGCACTGGAACAGAGGCTTGGGTGATGACGGAGAGCAGGCTGCCAAGGCCAAGAGGCTGGCAGATGTTCAGAATCTGTTTCTGCTGGGCAGATCTGGGAGCTTGTCATCTTGGAAGCCCGGCTCCTTCAGGTCCCAGGGCCTCCCACTGAGTGACCTAGAAGCCTGCAGCTGGGCCAGCAAGGCTATTCCTCAGGACAGACCAAGGTTACCATCCCAGAGACAGCAGTGGTAGGGTGGCCAAGAGCTTCTTCCTATCTGTTCTGACCAGAGGCCTCCAGGGAGAGTTGGAGGGAACCTCAGGTCTTCTGTTCCTCCCAGGCTGGTGGTGCCCAGGATGGCACTTGGTTGGGTGCAACATTGCTCTGTGGACACAGTCCAGTGACTGGCATTCTGGGCATCAAGCCTCACTCTTGCCTTCTTCCTAGTCCCACCCCCAGTCAGGTGTACCCACTTTCTAGGCCCCCAGTCCTCCTGGCATGCTAAGTAAGGGGATCCACCACCCACCCACCCCCCCCCCCGTTCTGAGCATGCCTCCACATTGGGCTACAGAGCATCTGCCTCCAGCCTTCCTTCTGGTCTTTTTGTGTCCATCTGAGCAATAGCTCCTTGAAAGGGTGCTAGAATCAAGGGATGGCCCATGTCTGCAAGCTGGAGGCTTGTTGCCCTCAAGAAGAGACCCCTGAGAGATGACTGGCACAATAGGAGGCCATGGGTTCTAGGCCCCTCTCTTGCAACAGTGCAAGCCTGCTAAGCAACGAGAAGACCCTGCCCCTTCTGCCCTTCTCAACAGCCCTCTCTCCTGAAGCAACCTTGTAAATCATGGAAACTCCTGTTTTGAGGGGAGAGGTGACAAGAGGAGGGGGCCTGGTCTCATTCCCTGACTCACGCTGCAGTGGGCTTTGAACCCATGCCCATGGGCGGATCAAGAGCTTAAGGTGATGGCTCTGTAAGGGTGGTAATAGTGGACCCCTAACCCATGATGGTTATTGTCTGTGCCCACAGGGAGCCGCAGTGATGGAGGCTGTCTCTCCCCAACCTAGCCTGTCTTCCACCACAACTGATTCTGCTCTATGCCGTATGTCGAACTCAAGTCTTCCCCCTCTTCCTCTGGGGATGAAGTAACAGCCTAGTGTCCGCCACATGGGTGAAGAAGACCAGAACTCAGCTCTCCTAGCCCAGAGGCTTGTCATCTGGCAGGGAACTAGCTTCTCTCCCTTGCCACAAGTGCAAGAGCTTTTCTTAGGCTACTTCTTGTCCTGCCCAGGCCTACCTGACTGTCCCCCACCCTCCCTGAAACTTCCTGTCTCTGTGGCCTACCTCTTTTCTGTATCCCAAGGTACAGGCAGGAGCCCTGTTCTGCCTGGGGGTGTTCGCCTGAAATCAGCCTATCTGCTGTCTTGGGTCAGTCGCCCATGTAGAGGCTCAACAACATGCAGCCGGGGTTGTTACTGCAGTGGTCTCTGGGGTGGCATTCTCTTGCTGTACAGGGAGGAGGCAGAGTTGCTTTGTGCCTCTGCAACCAACTGGCAACGGTTATCAGGCCTTTCCTTCCTCCTATCCCTTCCCCTCTAGGGCTGGGGCCAGGGAGGGCCTTGGGGAGAAGAGGCAGCAAGGGGCCCAGGGTAACTTGTCATGCAGTGAGGTATGGTGCCCCAGCCTGGTGACTCTGGGGTCATCCCTTAACAGCGCTGGCTCCTTCCAGGTGGAGCAGGCCTTATTGGCCCAGAGGCAGAGGCACAGGCCAGCATTGATTAGGAGGACTTGTTTATTCAAGGCACAATCATACATTAATAACAAGAAGGTTCAGCATTCTGGCACATTCCTTTAGTGGTAGTGGCCATGGTTAGTCCACGGCCCTCTAGGGCCCCCAGAGGATGCAATGCTGTTGATAGGCACTTGGCTTCCAGAGGCAGCTTGGGGACAGGCAGGCTGGCTACTCCAAGCCCAGCAAGGGTCCCCTCTAGGGGCTGTGTCATCTGGGTCTCCTGGGAGGCATCTCTCTCTCCAGAAGGGATCAGGATGGACTGAGGGTGGAGGCTAGGGTGGGGTTATGACCAGTGGCCTGGGACAGCAGGTGCTGAGGAGGGTCTGGAAGTGGGCTGTATAGGTAAGATGAAGGAGCCTGGGCTCTGGTGACCTTGCAAAGTCAAGGTCAAGCCAGGTGGACAGCTCCTGGAAGAGCAGAGTGGAATCTACTAGTTGCCCAACACTTGTATCAGAACCAGGCAGCATTTGACCCAAATTCGGAGGATGGAACCCTCCAGCCATATGCCCTGTTGTCTATAGGACCCCTTGTACCTGAAGCATCCATGGGTTGCAGTGGGAGGGGTAGGAAGGAGGGCCAGCAGCAGCAGACAGGGCTGCAGGGATCTGGGGCAGGCGCCGGCAAGCAGAGCCCAGAGAAAAGGCCTTTAGTTTCAGCCTGAGCTGTCACCAGTTTTGGCTTTGGCTGTGTTCCAAATCACTACATACCAAATACACACCTTGGGGTCTGCCCAATAAACCCACACTTTGGGCAGAGCTGGATATTGGCCCTGACCACTCTATGAAAAAGTTTCTTTCCCTGGTTGGTGAAATCCCAGGGGCACTGGCGTGTACAAAGGGCCTGGCTGTATGTAACTCCTCTCCCCCACTTATTCCAAGCTTGACAAGGAATGGAGGTAGCCTCACCCAGCTGACTCAAGCTCTCAGCAAAGATCACCCTGCTAAGGTTTGGGGCCAAGCTCTGGCGTGTGACACTACTTGCCCCTTGAGTGACTATTTCTGCCCTGGAGTGAGGCTTGGACCTGTGGGGCTGGGGGTGACAGAGGTGGAGCAGAGGCAGGGCCAAGTGATCTGTGTTCAGGGCAGCCATGTGCCTGGGTGGAGACACTGAGGTGGAATGAGACTGGGCAGCAAAGAGGGACCCAGATATCTGGGGAGGAGCTTCACAGGCTCAAGGACTGCAGACCCCTTGGTTCAGGCGGTTGGCCAGCATTGCAGAGGCAGAGGCTTGCTCCTCCAATTGGAGGCAGACCTGGGAAAACAACTTGCCCACCAGAAGGGTTTCTTCACTGTGATGTAGCCATCACTACTACTTTACCTAACCCTGGCAGGACTGGGGTGACATCTGTGACATCTTAACCTCTATACCCTTCTGAAGGTCAGGCAGGGCTGCCTGAGAGAGGAATAAGGGTCCTTCTGAGGGGCGGTAGGGGTTGAGCTGTCACCAACCTTGACCATGCTGGAGCACAACGCTCAAATCCATGAGGCAAAGGATGTTCATGGTGGCCACCTCTAGGTTTGGGGGAATCTTCTCATTTGTCCTTGGGACTTAGAGAGGTATGTCTGATTTCCATGACCCGGTTTTGGAAAGAAGACCCTGTTTCCTGAGCTCTACGCCCCACCACACACACACACACACACACCCTTAAATCAACCAGCAAGGATCAGCCATGGTTTCCTTCACCACATGCACGTAGGTCTCCTTTAATGAGCTTGAGTCACTGTCGCAGTAACTACCCTTGTAAGCAGATAGCAGGGCAGAGAAGCAGGGAAGGCCCCCGTCTCTTCCCAGGGTTGTCCTGTGGTTGCTCCGTGCTCAGGGGGTGAGGTACAGTTTCTAGATACTCTGCAGGGACGCCTGTGATGAGATGACCACCTGGGCCTCGTCCACAAGACCCAGTACACGCACCTTTGCCTGCTCAGACGGCAGTGGAGTGACCATCCTTGATGGGCAGCGGGAGTGGGGGCGCTGAAGCCCCTAGAAGGCCTTCAGTGGGCTCCTCCCTACCTCTTCCCTTATGCATATGTGCATCCCCTAGACTCCAGCAGGAAACACAGCATCCACTCCCAGAAACATGGCGTATGCTTCCTCCACCCCATCCCAGAGCCCTCAGCATTCCCAGCATTCCGCCCTTTCCAGCTGGTCGGAAGGCCCGGCTCGTCACCTGGCCACAGGATAGCAGCTGTCTCCATCAGGAGCTGCTTCCTGTCTCCCCGCACCAGGCTCTCCCCTGGCCCTCTGACTGAAATCCTAATCAGTGGCTCTGACCCTCCAGTTCCAGCCCTTCCTGGAACCGAGCTGAGTCCAGCTCCCTCGCAAAGGCCCTCAGACTGCTCTCTTCTTCTCCCTCTTCTGGCTGGCTGTTCATGGTGCCGTAGGTATGCCGGGCTGGGGAGGAGGCGGGGGTCAGGTTCAACTCTGGCTCCTGTAGCACGGTGGCCACGTACAGCTGCTCAGGACAGAGAGGGGAAGATGAGGCAAGGTCATATTGGGAGCAAGGTCTAGAGTATACCCTCTCTCCTCAAACCCACCCCATCACCTCTGCCCTTCCAAGCCCTGGGCCCTCTCTGCCCCACTATCCACAGCCTTGATTTCCTCTGCCTTGCTTCTTGTCATTCAGTGAGCTCCTAGGGATGAAGCCTGTTCACTACCTTGGAGTGGGCAGAGTTAGTTCAGTGGCAGGCTTTTTTATGCCTCATCTACATCAGTTCCACACATTATCTGTTCCCACTCAGGCTGAACCTGGGGGGAGATGGCCTCTGGTCCCCCTGTATGCTTTGCTACATTGTATTCACATATTGGAAACAGAGTGTTAGCTGCCTCCTGTCACACTGACGGCTGGTGTCAGGGATGCGGGGAAGGGGGCAGATTGGAGACACAGGAAGTGCCAGGGGAATGGGCAACCTGTCAGTGCTTGCAGTGGTTTTCAATCTCCTCCCTACTTTGAAAGTAGGTAATTACAGGAGAGAAAGAACCCTTGCATCCTCCAGTATAAACACCCAGCCCCAGTTGATGAGGGAACAATCCCGTGAAATAGCTAGACACATACATATTGCCAAAGCACACGCCACAGGCATTTTGACCACGAGAAAGGAAATGGTAGCTGAACAGTGGGAAGCCTGGTGTCACACCCAGTATTCTGTCTCATCAGCACTAACAGAATGAAGGGGGTGTTACAGGTCTCCAAGGTGAAGGCACTTCTAGGAATACATTCTAGCCCCTGGGTTGGACGTGAGCCTTTCAAGCCTCCAGCTTTCAGGGAGTGGGGAAGGGAGGGGAACCTGTTGGAAGATATCAGGAAGATGAGTCAGAGAAATCCAGAAGGTGGGGGCATCCTGCTGGAGTGGCTTGATCTTCTCAAGTCCCAATCTAGCATAGATACTCAACTGGTTCTGGGTTTGAACCAGTTATTTAAAAAAGATGGGTAATAAGAGCTATTTGAATATGTGGGTAATAAGAGCTATTTGAATATGGGTAGGCAAAGAGGTCAAAAGTCATCTATGTGGCAACATACTGACAGTTATACAGGTTATAAAATTGCATGCACAGTATTTAGCAGAAACCCATATAGACATATAGAATTCCACATGTACACAGAAGCATAAGATACTCGGAAGAGATGCACGCATCCATAGTTAGCTCAAGAATCAAGTGTCTCAGTGACCATCCCTGAGTGGCGGGAATGTGAACTTTTATTTCCTTATTCTTGGCTCCTCTGTTTTTCATTCCCACCGTTGCCTACCATGTTCTTATACCACTGTCGTAAGCGTATAGGGTTTTTAATAGCTTAAGCCAGGCACAGCACCTCGCGCCTGTGTAGGCCCTGCTACTCTGGAAGCTGAAGCAGGAGAATCACTCGTGCCTGAAGTTCGAGGCCAGGCGGCCCACATGGAAACCCTGTCTCGAAAAATAAATACATGCATAAATAGTAAGTTCTATTCGTTATGTTTTTTTAAAGCACAGATTTTATAGTTATCTGGACTTGGTTTAAACCCTGTCTGGCCACATCCTTGCTCAGCACTCTGGGGTTTAAATTAGTGGATCTTGTGGGGTGGGACTGACTGACCTAACATACATTAGGCCGTGTGCTCAATCTCCCACCCAGCAAAATGGTAATAATTAAGTTTGGGGGATTAAAATCCCTGACCATCGGAGTTTATTAATCCAGAGAGAAAAGAACAAGCTTCGAGCTCTTTATATTTCCCCTGCTAACAGCAAGAGAGCTCCTATTGGTCAGAGAAAGTTGTCCCTGGTTGGTTCTTGGTCTCTTCATTGCCTCCCCTCAAGAGACAGTTTGTCATTGGCTGGAAGGTCTGTTTTTGATTTTTTTTTTCCTTTCAAGTCAGGCCAACCAGGGTTATGCCACATCTTGTGTCTATGTGCATGGCCATGTGGGTCTGCCTATGTTAATGAATTTTGACCAGACTCTGACACCACTGGGGAAAAAAAAAGGCCTCTGGGCTTTGTGGGCCCTGCTCACAGGCATGTTCTGTATATCCATGTTGAACACTGTCTTCTGTTTTCCTCACGGACTCCAGATCATCTCTTCTGGCTTCTGCCCAGGTTCTTCCTCTTCCTCCAACGCTCTTCCCACACCCTGCTTCACCTGGCAACCTTTCCTCCCATTCCTCCAGTTGCATGACATGGTCCCTTCTCGGGGAAGCTTCTCCCAAGTGCCCCCACTGCGGGCACCCTTCTTCAGTGCTTGCTGGAGACGTCTAACATGTATGAAGGAGCCTATGCCCACCCTTCTTCAGTGCTTGCTGGAGACGCCTAACACGTATGAAGGAGCCTATGCCCAGCATCATACGTGCACAGATGATTGCATAAACACATGCGTTAGGGATGAGGACGAGGGCTCCTGCCATCCAGGCAAGCCAAAGGGCATGGGCGCCTCTGCTCAGTCCACTGGTCACAGACTCTGGGTCCAGCCTTGGCTCTTGGCAGGCTGGCGGGCTCCTCGGTCGGGTGCTGCCCCTGCCTTACCATTCACTGGGTCCGTCAATAGCTCCCTGCAGCTCTGTCTGCACCGCTCTGGCCAACGCCTGTGCCCTGGAGGCAGCCTGGGTCCTGAGGCTGAGCCCCAGCATGCCCCTGCATCTACGCGGTTGAGGATTCTGAGAGCTGGGCCTCCCTGTTCGAGTACGTCATCTCTGGCTCTCTCCTCTCTGGGTGACTTCTAGTGACTGTCGAGCTAGAGCTGGTTCTTCTCACCCCACTCTTCAGCCAGGGCCACGGAAGCATTTGGACCTGGGCCAAGTCCTGCTGCGTCAGAAGAGGGAGCCCGGGGGTCCCGGCTCCTCCCCAGTACCCAGGGTAGGCACTAAACACTGGTGCCCCCCACGTTGTTGGAGCGAGCCACCCTTGCAAGGCCCCACCCTCCTGACTCGTCCCCAGGGTGGAGGCAGAAACTCACAAGGGAGGTGGGTGTGGAGGTCGTGCTGCTTGGCTCCACATCAAACACAGTCTCAGCTTCTTCCTCAGGCTGCAGAGGAGAGGAGGGTGATGCTTCACAGGATGGAGGCTGACCCTCACCGCCTCCCGCCCTCTATCCACACCTGGGCCTCTGACTTGCCACCTTGCCCCTCAATCTTTTCTTTTTGGTTATTCGAGACAGGGTTTCCCTGTGCAGCCCTGGATGTTCTGGAACTCACTCTGTAGACCAGGCTGGCCTCTGCCTCCCCAGCACTGAGATTAAAGGCATGTGCCATCACCTCTACCTCCCAGACAATTCTTTTTCTCTCTAGAGTCCCAGACCAGCAGGCAGGGCAGCAGCTCAGGAGAAACAGGGAAATGATTGAGATGCCAAGAATCCCTTCTGGAATGTTCTGTTCCCAAAACCATAAAGGGAGAAATGATCATAGTTGGAGTGGGGTTTCTGCTCCGACTATCAGTTGTCTAGGGATTCTCAATCAGCCATACCCAGGTTTCCTATCACCCTTCTTCTCTAGGGTGGCACAGGTGCAAACAGATCTGGTGACATCATAGTATTAGGGCATGTGTGTGTGTGTGTGCTAGAGAAAATGCATTATGGCCGTACTCTAGCCTGGTACTCCAACCAGCAGTGGCGGTGGGTGCTTGTGCTATGACTGACCGGGTCCCAGAAACAAATAGAGCAAGAAGCAATGCTTCCAGAAGGCTCCCTCTGCAGGGAGCTGTGCTTCAAATCAGTTTCTTTTCTTTCTATACGTCGTCCAGAAAAATTTTCACTGTTATTAACAACCAGAAACCTTGGTCTAAGGGGAAGCCCCACCCCTCTTGTCCTGTTGTGTTCTGGGTGCCTCGGCCAGGATATCTCAGAGCTATGTCCTCAGGACCAGAAGAATCAGTGGTCTGAAAGGCAAACTGGCAACTTACCTCATACTCACGGACAACCCGGAGCTTCCCCAGAAAGATCCCAGAGAAGGCAATTATCACGGAGATGATGAGGGATGACAAGGAGAAGAACGTGATGGTGTGCAGTGGACCTGCCGAGGAGAAGGTGGTCACAGAGCTTAGCGCTGGAACAGGGGCGAAACAGGGCCACAGAATTGCTTCGCAGATGCCTAGAGCCACCTGCTCCAGAACCTCCACGGGAGCCCTGGGCTAGGGGCAGAGCAACCCTCGCACAATGCTCCCTCCAAGAACGGGATTAGGGAGCGGGACATGATAAGGTCATCCCTCTGTTCTATTTGGCCAGTTTAGAATGTGGCTTATTGTGAATCCCGTGGAAAACAGAACTTGGATGGACTCAAATTACCCACACCTGTGTCCATTAAACAAGTTCATCTTGATCTACCAACTACCCATTTCCATGGTTCCTCCAAAGGGCCTTTGAGTTACCCATTCTGCCACTGCCTCCAGTCTCTGACCCTTGTCCCTGCGGATCCAGGGCTAACCAGCATTCAAACACCATTTACATATTTCATGGGTGAATATTTGATCTCCTTCATGGCCCATAACAGCTTTTTAACAAGGTCAATGTGGAAAGTCAAATCTCCAGTCTCGTGACTGCCAAATGAAGCTTACTGGGGCATGGCTCTGCAAAAGCAGAAACCAGTAAACAACCTCAACCACCAGCCACAGAGGGCTAACAAAAGCTGTTGTTCTGAAAGGCTACGTTCAAACAGGCTCTTAATACATGAAGCCATTTGGAATATAACATGTGCATGAAAACTTCAGATTGCAAGTTGTAATGTGGATGGTTGCAATTTATAAATAATAGTAAACTAACACACACACCCTCATTTTGCTCCCTCCCCTGAGCAAATGCCTAGCTAGAGTCTGGGAATAAGAAAAACCAGACTCTAGAAGGCATTATGGGTAACAGATTTTGGTCTTTGTACTTTTTTTTTCTTCTATTTTTGATATTTAGAAAAAGGCATTAATGGGGGGAAAATGTCTTCCAGGAGGCAGGGGCAAACCGCACAGGACAGGGAATGGATGTTAACAAACAAATGTGCCCTGTGAGTGTAATCAAGAGTGTCATTCTGACAGAGAATAAGAAAAATACACCAAGCCAGTTCACCTTACTAGACCTGGAAGGAAGTGGGAGGTCCTTGGACTCCCCACAGGGCAGGGAACCTGGTCTGCTCTTTGGGCTGATGAGAGAGGGGGAGTTGATTGGAGGAGGGGGAGGGATATGGGAGGCAGTGGCAGGGAAGAGACAGAAATCTTTAATAAATAAATAATTTAAAAACTTAAAAAAAAATAATACACCACAGTAGTTGTTATGGGAGGGAAGGTCAATGGAATTGGGAGCCTAATGCCATGGGTGACCCAGATGGGAGGAAGCTGAGGAGCTCCCAGGCTGTAGTCCCTGGGAATGTCTGTGAAGGTGCCTCTGGGCTCCCCAAGGCAGGAGAAGCATTTTTGCATATCCACAGGGTGAGGAAAGGTTAGCCACCACTGCAGAATCGATTCCCTTCTCGGGTTCTGGCAAGCCCATGAAAGTAGTTATCTTACAGGTCCCAGAGGAAATATCGTGGGACTGGAGTACCAAAAGCTGCTATTCTATTTTCTGTCAATTTACATGTAAAAGGAAGGAATGTGACATTTCTTATTCGAAGCCAAATCTGCATCATTTGGACTTTGCTTCTGTCTCAAAGTTCTGCCGAGATTAATGCATGCATCATGGCCCAGAGCAGTCACTGGACTTGGCCAAGTGCAATGAGCAATGTCCTGCTCACCCTGAACTCTCCTCTTCTACCAGAGGTGGTCTTAAGGGATTCACAGGGCCAAGGTCAGGCAGAGGTGGGACCACAGAGCAGGCTGCTCACCCACCTACTCGCAGGATGGAGAAGAAGAGCATCCAGAAGAGCCCCAAAAGCGGTGCGAAAATGGCCTGGTAGACAGCGGCCATGTGGATCTGCTCGTTCAGTTTGGTGGGCGCATAGGAGTAGTACATGTTATAGCGGTCTGTGACATGCTTCATGCACAAATACAGCAGCCCTGGGGACCAGAAGACAGAGACACATTCACTGGCTGTTCTAAATAACAGGGCAGGTCTGTGCTGTCCTCAGATGCCCATGGATCTGAAAGGCCAGACTCAGGGCTGTCGGGTGGGAGACCTACGGAGCTGACCTCTGTGGCCTCTAGAACTGGTTCTGCCAGCTTGGCGACGTCCTTCAGTCATGCATGCATTCAACCAACACCCCTTGTTAGCAGCCATCCAATCAGGTCCGTGCTTTAGCCCTGCCACCTCCCCCCCCACAGGCTCTCCCAGATCTCCTCATGCTCTGGGAGACATCCCGATGCCATTTCAGAGTGTGGAGCCCTGGGGGTACCTTGTCGATGACTCACCAAAAGGGACAATTATAGGACAAGTGATGCTATACGCCATCACCACGCTGAAGACGTTCAGCATCCACGCATATTCTCGCCCAAACTGGAAATCCATGGCCTGGTTCTAAGGCAGAAGGCAGGGGTCACCCTGAGGTTGCCCAGCTCCCTTGTCTTGAATGCTTCTGGGACTCCTCTAGGGAGCTGGCTGGCAGCTCATTCCTAGGGGCAACATTTCTTCCCTCGTTGGAGTTCACGAAACAGCTACCCATGGTCACAGGCCTTCCATTGTGGGTCCCAGGGCTCCTAGCAAGACCCCTTCTTTTCCCTCCCAGGAGAAGCTGGGGATGGTGCTCAGAGAAGAGCTGGCCCTCACCTTTCTGATGTGGACTCTCTCTGGCTCTGATCTGGAAAAGAAGAGGCGGGTACAATACGTGCAGAGTGACCCCAGGCGCATCAGCTCCATGCCTGTCCCGAGCAGAGCAGCCGTGATCACGTAGTTGACAAAGAATGCACCATTGTCTGGGAGGAACACGCACCTGGACAGCAGGGAAGGTGGGAGGCGGTGGAAGGGCGGGATAAGGGACGAGATGTTGGGGGAGGAAAAGAGAGAAACAGCAGAGAGAGTGGAGGACACAGAGAAGAATAAAGATCCATAAACAGCCACTCTGAATAACGATATATTTATCAATGACAGGCCACATAGATGATGTCAGTCTGTAAGGCGGCATGTCCCAGCGAGGGGGTGGGCATTTTCTTCTGTGCAGGGGCAGTTCTCATGCACACACATGAATGGGAAGTCCTAGATACCAGGAACCCAAAACCATAATGGGAAAAACGATCATAGTTGGAGTGGGGTTTCTGCTCTGACTATTTGTTGTCTAGGGGTTCTCAATCAACCATACCCATGCTCCCTACCACCCTCCTTCTCTACGGTGGCACAGGTGCAAAGGGATCTGGTGACATCATAGCATTCAAGCAGCCTTTTTGAGCAAACATATGAATGGACTACATAAAATAAATTTAGAATGGACCTGTTAGGTATCTGACCTCCTAAAGGACTCTGGATTCTGAAGCTATATGACCTTGGAGGAGGAAAGATGACATCTTTTAAAATTTTTTCAAGATAGGTTTTCTCTGTGTTAACATCCCTGGCTGTCCTCGAACTAGCTTTGTAGACCAGGCTGGCCTCGAACTCAGACATCCATCTGCCTCTGCCTCCTGAGTGCCCGGACTAAAGGAGTGTGCCACCACGCCTGGCTTAAATTATTTTTAAAGTTGTTTTTATTATTTTTAATTATGTGTCTGTGTATGGGTATGTGCACAAGTGCAGGTGCTCTCAGATGCCAGAGGCATTGGGTCCCCTTGGAGCTGGGGTTACAGGAGCTTGTGAGCCACCTGGGATGGACGCGAACAACCAAACTCAGGCCCTCTGCGAGAACGATACATGATCTTAACAGCCGAGCCGTCTCTTCCGCTCTCAAGGTGACATCTTTAGTTTCACAGATCACTAATTGAAAGTAGCCATTCCTTTCCATGAAGCACATTAGCGACAAACCACAGGAGCGTTAGCCATTGTTGTCTTTAGTGCACAGAGCACGTGGGTTGCGAAGAACACAGTTGGGTTGAAATAGAGTCAAGATATTTTTAAAGGCCGCGAAGACAGCTAATCAGTAGAGTGTTTTCTGAGCAAGAACACACATCCAAGTTTGATATTTAGCACATACAAAACAAACAAGAACACATAGGTGTGGGACGTGATTTGGAATCCCAGCTCCCTGGCCAGTTGACCCAATCAGCAACCTCCAGGTTCTAGGGAGAGGCCCTGCCAGGAAAAAAAAAAAAAAACAACTTGACAGCTCCAGGGGGAAATGACGTTCAAGGTTGACTCTGGCCTTCACGTGCGTGCACAAGCGCACCTGCAACCCCCTCCCCGACATACACACACTTTTTTTTTTTTTTTAAAGGGGAGGCTTAAGCAGGCCTGGCTTATCTCAGTAGCTCCACCTACACAATCATGTGAATGTTCTTGAGGAGACAACTGCGAACCCCTGGCCACATTTCCGAACTCCTTCAAAAGCTACCTAAAGGGTTGAAGCTAGCTCAAGGATAGAACATTTGCCTAGGAAGCTGAAGACCCTAGGTGTGATTCCCATTGGAAGCGGAGGCAGGAGAATCTTGAGTTGAGTAGAATCCAACCCTGCTGAGCGGCTAGAAAACAGCACTATTGGCATTTACTCTTCACAGAATTGAAGTTGAGTCACAAGCTTGGCTTTATTATAAGAGACGTGTATTAAAGATATCCTCCTAGCCAAAGACGAACCCATTCACCTTTGAAAGGATAACTTCCTATGGTTGCAATGCCAATTTAACTAGAAAACTAGGAGGATGCCGTCCTTGAGCAAGCTGTGGAAAGGCGAAGGTCATTTGCACTGTGTCTTTGAAAACCGGGGCTTTCAAATGCTGTGACCATGAAAAAAAAATCCACAAAAGGCCAGGTTTTCAACATAACGCACACGTTGTCATAGAGCCCGTCTCCCCCAATTCTAATGCTCTTATCCCAGTGAGTCATCAGCCTTCACACTGATGTCTGCAAAATCAACAAAAAATGTAACTTTATAGTATTCTCACTAGTGGGCTAATGAAGACAGCCACAAAACTAAAACATTTTGGTAACTACATATATCTTACCTTATTTTACTTTATATCGAAATGGTGGGTATACGTGTGTGTTCCTGAGTGCAGGTTTGTGCAGGAAAGTGCTCAAGGAGGCCAGAAAGGGGCATTGGACTCTCTGGAGTTGGGGTTACAGGCAGTTTGGAGCCACCTTGTGGGTGCTGGGAATTGAACTCTCATCCTCTGCCAGAACAGTATACGCTCTTAACCACTGAGCAGTCTCCTTTGCCTCTGATAACAGTGCAATCCGGGTATTTTACACACTTACATATACCACCCAGAATGGGTGACAACTGGAGATGACCTGATCAGTTTTGTGGTTTCTGGGTCTTATATTTATTTTATTTATTCGTGCAAAATTATGCACTTTATTTATGCAAAATGTTATCAGTGAGGAACACAATATGAAGAAGACACATGGGATCCCCACTATGGTGAAACTTCCATGATTTCAAGAAGTTCTTGGGCTTTCCCAGATTGCCAAAGGGGACCACAGCACAGGCCAGCCTTCTGGGGATGCTTCTACCTGCATCTGTCTACTCCTGGGTACCAGTGATGCAGGGATGAATGAGAGATGGGCACACATATCCACCCCAGCGCAGACACACAGCAAATTCCGGGTACACCCAAGAATACTCACTGAAACCTGATGGTCGCATGTTCAAGATAGTAGATGTCAAAGAGCCAGCGCAAAAACACGTTCAAACTAGAAGGAAGAACGGAACTGGATCTTCAGTCACAGCGCGCATGTGTTACAGCTCAGGGCTCAAGTCCTGGCCTGACTTCCTACTTTCTGTTCTCCCTCGCCAACCCCCCAAGTCCCTGGCTTAGTGCTCACTGGCCAGTCATCCTGCCCTCTTCCTTCCATCAGGTCATCTGAGTCACTTGCTGATGACCCTCTAGTTCAAGGCCACTTTCTGTAATAGATCTTTGCCAACTATCTCTCTCCAAGTGCTCTCTCTCTCTCTTCTCAACTTCCCATTTATGTTGGCCGCATTTCCCCCCTCTGGCTGCCTGTCCTCTGTCAGGGACACCTTGTCTTTGGAGCTGAGGCAGAGTTCAGGGCTGACACCTTACAGTTTGCCTGATACCTGTCTCCAACTATGCCTGTGACAGGCATGGACTGTCATTTGAGGAGACTTGCAGCAACCATAGGAGGCCTACAGTTTCTGAAATGGGTTTCACCTCTAGACTGAGCCTGGCTGAGACAGGGGAGATAACCGCGAGGGAGGTACCTGGTCAGCCCCATGGAGGGCAGAATGACCACCATAAACACCAGGAAGATGTAGCATTTGTGCACGATGATGATATTCTGACTTGACCTACAAGGACGCGAAGAGAAACACTTATCACTATGTGAGACAGAATAATCACCAAAGATCTGAGCTGGACACGGTGGTGCATGTCTTTACCCTAGCACTGGGAATCAGAGGCTGGAAGATCTCTCAGAGTTCAAGGCCAGCCTGGTCTACCTACAGAGCAAGTTCCAGGACAGCCAGGGCTATCTATCTAGACAGACCCTGTACCAGCAAAACAAAGCAGATAAAGAAAGAATCAAAGATCTAACCACATAAGACAATGAGCAGAAGAGGGAGGGGCAAACAGCCTACTGGACCGGGAAACTGCTCTATGGTCCAGCCCAACGGCCTCTTGACAGAGTACTGTGAGCTGTGCTGTTGTCTGGGAACAGCAGGGACGAACAGTATGATCAACTAGTAATGTCTGTCCTCAGCAAGGAAGGAAACAACAACAACAAAAAAAGATGCCATATATTTGACATCTCTGCATCAAGACACATATGTTACCAATGCTATTCAAATCTCTGGAGAATTTCAGCAATTTATATGAGCCTTGCCCTTAACTATAGGAACAGGCCAGTAAGGATTTCTATCAGTAACCCACGGCTTACCACTTGGTAGAGTGGCAGGACTTTGGGATGTAGAAAATCACTTTCAAGATCCATTGCAGACATTGGGCCAAAGGTAGACTCTTTATTCAGCATATGACTAATATAATCTACCCAGTTACCTACCACCATAGAGGCATTAGCATTAATAAATGGAAAATCTCTTGAATTTGGAAACATTGGTTCTGTAGGAGCCAACTACGCGCAACATTGTTGCAGAGGCTCTGCAGATGAACCTTCAGAATCCCCAGCAATGGTGCCTACAGCTCTGTCCCCTCCATGTAGGTTGTCGGTAGAGAGGACAGCCTCAGCAGGGCTTGGTTTGGGCCTCACTGCTCTTAGACGGTAACCCTTCATCAAGGGTTACCAAGGCCAGCAGCCAGGAGAAAACTCAGAACCTCTGGTCTTTTGAGATCAAATATCAAAAGCATCACTTGTCAGTCTTCGCCCTTAGGCTAGATAGAAGGCCCAAGTGCCAGGCAGATAGGAAAGGGGCAGAGGACAGGGGCAAGAGCCACGAGGGGAAGGAGAGGAAGCCCCAGCTCACCTGGTCCAGTGGGCCTCTAGGAAGGCAGAGAAGTAGACCATCAGAGGCATTATCACCGTGAAGGCCCAGAGCATGACAGAGGGGAAGAACTGGGTCACGACAGGGCTCTGGAGGGGAAGGAAGCAAGGGAGGGCAGGAGAGGCATCAGCACAAAAGGTCCCTTTCCCCTGCAGGCTGCCCTGGTTCTCCCCTAGCCATGCCTCTCCACCTTCGGCCCCTCAGGAATAAGCTTGCTTTTCCTGAGGCTACAGAATAGGTCAGACCTTCCTTTTCTTCCTTCTTTCTTTCTTTTCTTATCTTTTCTTTCTTTCTTTCCTTTTGTTTTTTGGTTGTTGTTTTTCTCTTTCTTTTTTTTTTTTTTGAAATAGAGTTTCTCTGTGTAGCTATGAAGCCTGTCCTGGAACTCGTTCTATAGACCAGGTTGGCCTTGAACTCACAGAGACACGTTTATCTCTGACTCCCGAGTGCCTTCCTAGCCAGAAGTTCACCTAGGTGGAGGAAGCAGAGGCTCACACCTCAAGATCAAGTTAAGTCCTCAAGGGGCTTCTATGCCCAGGAAAAGCAGCCTGAGGTTTCTTTAGTGACTTCACCGTACAGCCAGGGCCGGCGTTGTGACTCATGTTTCATGACTCAGGGATAACATTGCATGAACTATGATGTGTGAATATGGGGGCAACATGGGAAAGGCTGGGAAGGAGTAACGCCTAGGAGAGCAGGCATATGGCCTGGGTCTCTTACAGATTTGAGACAGACACAAAAGCAGTATGGCCATACATGTGTGTGCATGTGTGTGCATGTGTGTGTGTGCATGTGTGTGTCTGTGTCTCTGTATATGTCTGTGTATTTGTGTGCATGTGAATGTTTATACATGTGTCTGTGTTTGTGTGCATGTGTTTATACATGTGTCTCTGTGTTTGTGTGCATGTGTGTGTCTCTCTGCATATATGTCTATGTATGTGTGCGTATGTACATGTATGTGTGGGGTCAGGGGAGTGGACATATCTCACTGGGAATAGAGAAGGGATGCTATAGGTGGAGAAGCTTTTTGGTTTATCAGAGCAGCATGGAGGGCACAGGATTTGATGAACTGGGCCAGTGTTCCCTGATGCTGCCTTCTAAGCGGAAAGCATCCTCTAACCTGAGGAAGGGCTCTGACAGGTCCAAGGCTCCAGGCACTAGGAGGGGAAGGAGGCCGATGCAATGCTGAAGGTCCTGCTTTCCTTCCAAAGGCTGTGTTGGGGCTCATCGTACTCTTTCTTGCCCCCTACTCTCAGTAGGAGCCAAGGAAGCCTGGTGAGAACAGAGCTGCTACTGCCTGCTGTACCCTCCAGACCCCTACCTGGCTTAGAGTGACCCCATCTATCAGGACCCTCTAAGCCCGAATTCTTGGGACCACCCATCCTCTGACTCACCCCAAGACTGACCTGCAGCTCCTCTCCTCGCCCTTCCCTCTCCAGCCTGTCCCTGAGAGGGGCAATAGCCCGCGTCCATCCTACTTAGAACTCAGGGCACTTCGTTCTGCCCGTGACACCACCCGACCTCCATGTGCTGTCGTTGGGAAATTCTAGAACCCCGTCCCAGTCCAGGCCTGGCCTGGGCAGAGGAGGCACCTGCAAATTCTCGATGGGGCGGGTGACGTTGTACATGTCGATGGTGTTGATGATGATGGCGGGCGTGGTGAGGAAGAAGAACAGGAAGAAGAGGAAGGTGTTGATTGCGATAAAGCGAGTCCACCAATTGAAGCGGCGGATGGATAGGTGTTTCCTGGGAAGGGGGCGGACAAGAGGGGCACATTTAGGCCGAGAGAGATTACACAGAGAGAGAGAGGGAGTACGGGGAAGAGAAAGCAATACTTTTTTCTATATGCCAGCTGTGGGCCTGGTCCTATGTGCAGGGGCTGCTGGGATTTCTCCTTAGGGACCTCATTTGCAAAGGCCCAGACTACGTCTCAAAGGCTACAGTGAGAACTTTCCCCAAGGTTGGTTCCTTCCATGCATACAGTAAAGGTAGGTGTGTGGTGCTCAGGAAATCACATGGCAGAGTCCAGAGGGAGCTAGGTTCGGACAGTTCTGAGTCTAGTCCTCATGCACTCTTTGTTGGGCAATAAAGTAGAGAGAACAGGCCCCTTCCTGTAGCCTTCAATCTCAGAGACAGAGGAAGGGACACAGAGGAAGCTTACCAGATGATGTCTTTGGGGTGTGGGGCATGAGCGACCCTCCAGTGGTAGTTTTTAACGATGGTCGTTACTGAGGACTGCTTGGGGTGCATGCCACAGCAGATGTACTTGTAATCCTCACGGATGCTGCAGAGATGGAACAAAGAGGAGACATAGGTCTGGGCTAGGAGGATGAATGCCTCAGAGAACCATATACCTGGATCCTAGAGCCACCATGACAGCCCCACCAATGGGGTTACTTCACTTCTTGGGATTCTCAAAGCCTTTGTCTCCCAGGACCTTAGAAAGAGATAGTTCCTAAAACACAATAGTTGGGGCAGAGGGGTAGGGTAATGAAGGTGTCTAGACTATCCAGGAAGAGGTGCAGGCCCCAGGGTCCCCAGCTATTGCCCTTCCTTAGAAGCAGTAACAATATACAGATGAGTATCCTTTGGGGTTATAGGAAGGGGCTAGCATCATCGTAGGTCAGCACCAGTAACCCCAGGTTCCAGAGTTCTTTCTGTGGCCCTGGATCTACACTTGCTGGCAAGGAGAAGAATCTCAGCTGCCCAGATTCCCCAACTGAGATGCAATTGGAGAAGGTACACACTGGTGCTAGAGCCCAGTCTTTGACCTTCTGACACATTCTGCGGTGATGAAGATCTCTGCCAACAGTGATTTTTTAAGAAATGAACAATCTTGCCCTGTCTAGGGGCATTGCTTTATACAAAACACAAACACACGTACACACAAATAATAATAACAATAACAACAGCAACAATAATATAGTATCTATATGTCCCTTGCCCATTCACTGGGGAGTGCACAGAGCAGAACTCAGTAACCAAACTGGGCATATAAAAAGTTTGAGGGGCTGGGTGTGGTGGTACCTTTTATCTTATCACTTAGGAGGCAGAAATAGGTAGATCTTCGAGTTTGAGGCCAGCCTGGTCAACAGAGGGAGTTCCAGGACAGCCAGGACAGACAGAGAACCTTTATCTCAAAGGACTAAAACAACAACAACAACAAAAGTAAAAGAAAGAAGGGAAGAGAGGAAGGGAAGAGAAGGTAGAGGAAGAGGAAGAAGAGAAGAAATTGTTGTTGTTTTCTGTGGGATAATGCTCTTGTCCACTGTAAAGATTTGTCACCCAGACTGATTTAATAAAACACTTATTGGCCAGTAGTCAGGCAGGAAGTATAGGTGGGGCAACCAGACTAGGAGAATTCTGGGAAGAGAAAAGGCAGAGACACAGTAGCAAGCAAGACACACAGGAAGCAAAATGAGAATGCCTTATTGAGAAATGGTACCAAGCCACATGGCTTAACATAGGTAAGAATTATGGGTTCATTTAAGTTACAAGAGCTAGTTAGTAATAAGCCTGAACAACAGGCCAAACAGTTTATAAATAATATAAGTCTCTATGTGTTTATTTGGGACTGAATGGCTGTGGGGCTGGGTGTGACAGAAACTTCCATGTACAGTTGGTTTTTGAGGGGATGGAGAGATGGCCTAATGATTAAGAACACTGGCTGCTCTTCCTGAGCACTCGGATTCAATTCCCAGCACCCACATGGCTGCTCATAACCCTCTGTAACTCCAGTCCCAGGTTTGATGTCATTTGCTGGCCTTCTTGAGTACCAGGCAAGTAACTGGTGCACAGAAATTCATTCAGGCTAAACATCCACAAACATAAAATAAAATGCAGTCTTTTAAAGAAAGAAGTCTGGGGGCTGGAGAGATGGCTCAGTGGTTAAGAGCATTGCCTGCTCTTCCAAAGGTCCTGAGTTCAATTCTTGGCAACCACATGGTGGCTCACAACCATCTATAATGAGGTCTGGTGCCCTCTTCTGGACTGCAGACATACACACAGACAGAATATTGTATACATAATAAATAAATAAATATTTAAAGAAAGAAGTCTGAGGATTCAAGTGACTTGGGAAATCATAGACTTTTGTCTGTGACTAAAATCTAGGCTGTCTGCCCCTTTGTAGGGTTGGGTGGAAGAACACACTCTATATTACTATATTACCCAGGCATTATAAGGTTCCCTCCAGGGAAAGGAGGGCCCCACAATCCTTTTGAGACCAGTTCTGCAGTTCCCATACAATTAGTTTAGTACTAAAAATCCTTCTAGAACATTCTAAATTGAATGGAATTAATTCCTTCTTGAGATAGGATTATTAAAGGTCTGGACAGAAGAAAGAGTGAGCCTTCTGGGCAAGCCTACAGCAGAAGGGAAAAAAGGTTGCTGGGCGATGGTGGCCCATGTCTTTAATCCCAGCACTTGGGAGGCAGAGGTAGGCAGATCTCTGTGAGTTCAAAGCCAGCCTGGTCTACAGAGAGAGTCCCAGGAAGGCTTCAAAGCTACAGAAAAACCCTGCTTAAAAAAAGAAGAGGAAGAAGAAGGGGGAGAAAAATGGTCAAAATGGTTCTTGAAGAGAAGAAAACTCAATGGTCTCTTGACTTTCTGACTTGTGGTAGGAGGGGGTGATGTATGTGGAATGGGGGGAAGTGGCTATCATTCTTGTCAAGACAGCAGAGCCTGTGCTGATGGTGAAGAGCATTCTCGGAGAACAGTTGAGGCCCACCAGAGAGATGGTATAGCCATGCTAGGGACAGCAACATGGAAGCTCCCAGAAAAGAGCAGAGCGAGCAGCCAGGGGCAGACACTGCATCTGGAGGGAGTCTTGACCCCCTTTCCCTTAAGCTGGGTGGGGATAAGAATAGGATCTGAGAAGCAGAGCCCACGAAGTTGAGGAAGGCTCAGAGCTGCCTGGGATTCCTGCCTCTTGTGTTGTCTAGGCTATCTGAGTTTGAACTCTGGTCATCTGAGGCTCATGACATCCAGCACCCACCGGCTCACGGTCTTGGCATCCTGGAAGGTGACAAAGATCAGGTCAAGTCTCTTCAGCCGGACACGATTGAGCTCCGCATTGAACTCGTCGGTCAGCTGTTCCTCCAGCTCACTGTAGTACTGCTCCGCATCTACCTGGGGCAAGAAGAGGCCCTCAGAGCTGGAGAGGTCAGGACCCAGGGGGCCTGGGTCAGCCCCGGGGTTCTCTCGTGCAGCAGCCCTTCGCCCCTGGAACAGCCACATGCTGACTCTCCAATCCACCCCCTTAGATCTGGGGAGACACTGAGACACAGTGTGGTTAGTGGAGGGTGCTCCGGACCTGGGTGAACCTCAGAAAGACAAGAGAATGCGCAGTGTCTCAGAGGTTGGGCGTTCTTCCTCTGGTCTGACTGAAACCAAGTGCCTGAGACCTGTCTACCCATAGTAGCCAGGGGACAAGGCAGATTCTGTTTCTTCAACTGTTTCTGCCCTGGTGGCTTTGGAAGCCTGGTGCTTGGTCACCTACTACAGGCTGCCGTGTTTCCTCTGGTCTATCTGTCTAGGACCAGAAGGCAGATAAGAGCAAAGCCTTCATGGTTGCCCTGGAAGGGAACCCAAGGAAGGATTGAGCTCCTCTTTATATCTGCAAGGATAGAGGGTTTAAGTGGGAGCCAGGTTCTGGACCACTAGGCTAGACCTGAATGGGCCCTGGAGATGAGGACTTAGGTGAGGGGCCAGCCTGGAGCCCCGCACTCCACCCATTCCCTGATGGTCTCAATACCCCGTCAGTTACCTCTTTGAAGCAGGTCCAGCACTTGCAGAAACACAGACGGGAGCATGGGTGAATCTTGATCATCACCTTCCCAGTCTTCTTAGCCTTGGCTGTGTAGTACAGCCTGCCCCGCATGGCATGGCGCCTAGCATTGGTGGGAACATCCTCTGGTCAGTGATCAACAGAGAAAGCACTATCCTGTTCTTGCATCCCCGCCCCAAATGCCAGCAGGCTCCTCGGCGATCTCACCTTTGATCGTCCAGGTCAATCAGGTTCCTGACATCATAGCAGAAGTGGACTCTGGTCACCACGCACCCAGGATAGGCCTCACTGCAGTCACAAATACAGAGGCTGAACCAGCCTGTGGGGCTGGTTAGTGTCACAGCCCACGGGGATGGGAGGCTCTACTGCCGGGGTTCCTGTCCCGGAATGACATCCATCCTTGCCCCTAAGGCTGAGCAGTCTTTGATGTTTAGACTCTAGTCATCTGGGACTCAACAGCACCCTTTACGGATTCAAAACAGGGTGTGGACATGCTCCAAACACCAGGGGGCTAGGAAGGAGCTACTTTTGAGAGAGGAGCAGCATCTCTGGGTTGGTCTTGAGGACACCAAAAAGATCTGGAGACACTGTGCCTGAGATGGTTGGGAAGTCGGGTCTCCCTGGGCTGAGTAGCTGAAGCCACATGAAATTGTTAAATGGCCCTTTGGCCTCCCTGATGTCATACAAGGGCCTCTAGAACTCTGCTGCAGCCTTGGTGGCCCTCTCCTTTCTGAAAAGGTGATTCTGAGCTGAGTCCCGAGAGGACCACCACTAGGAATGTCTCTAGCCCCAGCACTCTGTGCCAACTCACATTCCTATGAGAACCCATAGGAGATACTGGGAGGAGATGGTACTCGACACAACCCATGCTCCCACTTACTGGAAGTGTTTGCTGATGACCTCTGGATCCTGGATTTCCGTGGGGACATAGGTGATCATCAGTGTCCTCGTGATCTGGGATGGGGGAGAAAAGGCTGTGCTTCCGCGAGAATGCTAGATATATGGGTCCTTAGTGACCCGGAGCTCCAGGAGAGCAAGCCTTCTGCTCCCACCAGGCTGCCTGTTTGCTAGAGACCCGCTGCTAAGCAAGCTGCTGGCTAGCATTCTGTAGCCCCCAGATCAGCAAACCAGGCCTTGCTTAGTCTCTGTGCTCCAGCTGGGGACCCCCGCCAGACAGCTGAGGTCAGGAAGAGAGAACCAGAGCCGAGGTGAAGGACCACATCTCCCCTACTGGAAAAGGTCATTTGTGCCCACTTGCAGCAACCCCATGGTGACTTTTAGTCTCATGGAATTGCCTACATTTCTAGTGTAAAACTTCACATGGCTGGAGAAACCCCTAGTATTCTATGGGTCTGGAGCTGGGAGCAAGGGTGATGGTCTCAATCTGGGATGTTTCCTAAAGGCCCAAGTGTTAAACACCTAAAGTCATGGGGAGAAGATGAAGACTTTGAAAGGAGGGTTAGTGAGTGGCTAAGGAACCTTCTTTAGCCAATGGCCTTTTAATAAAGAACACCTTAGTATACCCTATTCGGAGTTAGAGTGGGATTATTTGATTTGCGTTCTCCCCCAATCTGACGCGTTCCGCTTCAGTGAGTGGCCTTAGGAAGCTGTCAGTGTGCCCTCACAGGGTACTGTGGTAAGCCAAGCCCTCCTCTTCCTCTCTATTTGTTTCCCTGCCACCTTGAGGTGGGCAACTTCTCCTGTCACCTGCTCCTACCGTGATGCACTGCCTCACCACAGGCCCCAGAGCAACAGAGCCTGCTGAGTACAGAATAAAACCAAAACCGTGAAGCAAAGCAAACTTTCCCTCTTTTTAGGTCGATTCCCTCAGGAACATGGTGACAGTAACAGAAAATCGACTAACGCAGCTTGCAAGGTTGAGGAGGACCTGGGGTGTCTTGACCCAACTTCCTATTTTGTTCTGCAGGGGAATAACATCTTCCTGATCCATCCCTTTCAAGATGACAGTCTGACAAACCACCACAAGAGGTGAATACCCCAGCCTCAGCATCTGGTAACAATTAGCAACGAGTTGATGACGCAGGTGTCCCAGCCTCCGTCCCTGGCTGGCTGAATGCATGGGATCGCTTGGAGCATAGGGATCTACACTCTGGGGTTAAGTTAAACTCAATCTGTCATAGAACAGGTAGGCTCAAAGGAGAAGAGTCCCCTCTACTGGATGAAGAAGGATGAAGCCTTGGAGGCTCATTCCCATGGCTGCCCCACAGAGCACAGATAACCCAAAAGGCCATATACCCTTTTCAGGGTCCTGGCCTAAGCAGCTGCCCACCTGTGGCCCCTCAGCACCGAGCTCTGCACAGAAGAGGCTGTGGCCTACCTCAACCCTGAGCTTGCCTGAGTAGTCTTGAAGGTATGTCTAAGTCAAGAGATGAAGACTTGGGCTGGGGACATGGGCTCAATGGCTTATGGACACTTGCTGCCCCAAGCATGAGGACCTGAGTAATCCAGCATCCAGGTAGAGAGCCAGGTGTGGCCAAGCCTGTCTGTGACCTCAGCACTGTGGGAGTCAGAGACAGGAGGATCTCTGAGGCTTGCTGCCAGCTCACCTCACTCTAGGTTTGATTAGAGACCTTGTCCCGAGAGAATAAGGTGGAGCGTGACAGACCAGGACACCTAATGCTCTCCTTTGGACACCATGTGAACGAGTATACATGCATGTAAGCATACAGGGCATAACCGGCTGGGGGAATTATCCCCAACTGCTCACACCCCAGGCTGGGAAAATCCTAGGACACACATTCTAACCCAGCTCGCTAGGGCAACAGAGGTAGAGGAGGGGAGGCAAATATTAGCAGCTACTTACCATCCAGCACGAGGGGCTTTCCTGGCTTAGCAGTGCAGGGGAAAACTAGGGGATACTAGGGCAGGGGGAGTGGAGGGAAGGGCATGCAGGGGTAGGGCAAACAAAGGCTCACTCCTGCTGGAGGGAGACCGCCCCCCACCCGAGAGTCAAGATGGCATTTTCGCAAAGCTGGGGAGAGCATCCTTCACACACTCACCTTGAGGTTCTTCTTGGGCACAAACCCCAAGCAGTGATGGCCCATGAGGGCAAAGTTGATGAGGAAGTACAGGAACGCGAAGAGACTGTGCAGCCACAGGAGTTTACTCCTGCAGGGGGTGGGGGTGGGGGGTGGAGCACAAGACTCACGGGGCTGCAGGCCTCCAGAGCCCCACAGTGTTGCTATACCCCCATCACGCCATCAGCATCCCCAGACATCCCTCCCACCACAACAGCGTCCCCAGACTCACTCCCACTACAACAGGACTTTCGATGGACCAGATCCAGGGTGGGACTAAGCTCTTGGTTGGTACCTCTCGCCAGACCCTCAGAGGGCTTCCCTGACCACCACTCCCCATTCCACCCGTGGGGAAAGGAAGGACAGAGCAGTGGCTAACCTGCCTAAGAGCACTGGGAGAGGAGCCACAGCTGCCCATCCTGCACCTCACAGATGCCCAGTAGGCTGAGGGAGGAGGGCTGGGTCATACGCAGCTAGAGGAAGGCTAGACAACCTCACTTCCCTGGAGCAGAGAGGAAGGCTAGACAACCTCACTTCCCTGGAACAGAGGGCTGGTGGTCACTGGGCTCTGCTTCTAGCCTCGCTTGCAGGTCCCAGGATGCTGTCTCAAGGCATCTGACCAGAGTTACTGTTTAGAAGTTTGAGCGACATGGCTTGAGGAGAGCAAGCCTGGTCTGCTCCTCCTGGCTCGGAGCCTCTGCCCACCTGAATAGATGCCTAGCGGCTCAGATTCTACATTAAAGAGCATCTCAGCATCGTGCAGTGGGGGAGTCGTGTACAACGAAGACCCCTGATGCTCTATGGGACTCCACTTCTTGGGAAGGGACATGAGGCTCCTCAGAATGACTGGCTCAGGAGGTGCTGGTTGGGGGCTCTGCTCCAGCTGGCAACTCTAGGGTGGGCAGAGCCGGCTGGTGGAGGAGGGGAGAGAATGCCACAGCTCCATGCTGCTGATCCAAGAGCTCTAGCAACACTAGCCTGCTCTGAGGCCTATGGCAGGAGGTTAGAGGTGTAAGGCAGGTGGGGGTGGGATAAGATGGACCCCACTTCTGCAGTTTGGTCAGGAAGTTGGCCAAGCCATTCAGGGAGCCTTAGCGTAGACAAGCAGGGCCGTATCTGGCTCAGCTCAGGTCTGAAGTGGCTACCAATCAGGTTGGCTGGTTCCTGACCTGAGAATGGGAAGGAACTCAGAGGATCTTGTCTTGTCCTAGGGTATGTATTTCCCATGCTTAAGGGCTAAATCTGGAGCAAGGGTTTCCCCAGATGCAAAGTCAGCAGATGACCAGTAGATGGCAGTAGTGAGGCCTGGGCCCAGCACCTGATTCTCCTGTTGTGGACATCAGAGGTAGAGGCTGGAGGGCCAGTGAGTCACTCCATTATTTGAGGGCCAACCTGAACCTGGGGCTGTCAAGGATACTGCATCTTGAATATACCCTCCTGCTGCCCTGCTACAGGGTCTCCTCAGGAGCAGAAGCACTATGTGTGCCGACTAATTTTATGCCAACTTGATACAAGCTAGAGTCATCAGAGAGGAGGGAACTCAATTGAGAACACACCTGTATAAGATCCAGCTGTAGGGCATTTTCTTAATTAAATGGTTAATGATGGAGGGCCTATCCCATTGTGGGTGATGCCACCCCTAGGCTAGTGATCCTGGGTTTATAAGAAAGCAGGTTGGGCAGTCCATGATAAGCAAGCCAGTAAGCAGCACCCCTCCATGGCCTCAGCATCAGCACCTGACTCCAGGTTCCTGCCTTGCTTGAATATCTGTCTACCATGTCTCTAGTCCTCAGGAATGGCCAATGTGGGTAGTTCCACTCATGAAATAGGGAAACCAAGGCATTAAGAATCCTTCCCCAGCCAGGCAGTGATGGCGCACGCCTTTAATCCCAGCACTTGGGAGGCAGAGGCAGGAGGATCTCTGTGAGTTCGAGACCAGCCTGGTCTACAAGAGCTAGTTCCAGGACAGGCTCCAAAACCACAGAGAAACCCTGTCTCGAAAAACCAAAAAAAAAAAAAAAAAAAAAAAAAAAAAAAGAACCCTTCCCCACTAGGCGAATACAACTTCTGGCATCCCACTCAGGACCTGGATCCCAAATAAACCTGCCTGCCTCATCAGCACCGAGCTACTCATGCTGGGTACCAACGCGTTAGCCTGTCTTTCCCCACCAGCGCCCAGTCAATAGAAGGGGAGTGAGGATCAGGTACCTACTCTGTGGAGACATTAACAATGGTGGTCCGACCAAAGTGGCTATTCCAGTCTGAAAGAGAGAAGAAAGGGCCAACCTTGATCCTGGTCTCTATACTGCTCGGGGCATTGGTGGGGACAGAATTCAAGGTTCCTGAACAAATGCCAAGGATCTAGAAATCCTTGCCTATATCTGCTTTTCCTTCTGGTCCCCAGACTGTCCCCAGCTACCAGCAAAAACACCATCCTCCTAGGTGGACCTGGCTTGGGCTCTAATCTGTGAGACCAAGCGTCTATAGGGAATTCCCCGAGCTTGACTGGCTTGTAACAGACACACAGCAAACTAGTTTTGAGGGAACCAGATGGCTGTCTAGCCACCAGCAAACCGATGACATTAGCAATGCTGGCTACAATCCCAATAAGAACTCAAACTCTAGAAAATTGGAGTTTAGACAATGGGCCATTTTCTTATTGGAACCAGAATGATTCTTCTAGCCACGCATATTAATGTGTCTGTTCAGACAGCTCCAGGCTCCGTAGAGCTTCTAAGATTACTGCATTATCCTCGCCACATGCTAGCGCTTGGGGTAGAAATCTGGAATGTCAGGCATACTCCCTCTGGTGCTGCAATCTGGTGCATACTCAATATGCTACGGTGGATTCACTCAGGTCTACGTCTGGCTGAGGAGAAACCCGGAAAACTGGGGAATGAGGGAAAACTGGTTGCTAACTGGACATCGAAGGGACCACTGGACCGCCAGCCTTCCCTCAGCTCTGTTCCTCCCGAAGTTCTGAAGAAGACACGTTTGCTGTCCCCTGAGCTCCCACATAGTACCAGGTACTTGACATCCCTCCCTCTCTCCCTGTGTCTAAATAGTGGAGGGAATAGATTTAGAAGGTAAAATACTGTGTGAGCTTGGGAGAAGGCGTTTTCAAGTAGATGTGGGCAAAAGCTGGGGAGCCAGGATCTTTCTATCTCAGGAAGGAGTCAAGCTCATGTTCACGATGCTGCCTGCTACAATGAGCGTGTGCAGAAGTCCTACCAGAAGAATTCTGCATGGACAGGGGTGTGTCCACCAGGGTACATGTCAGGAGACAGAGAGGTCAGAAGCCTCTCCAGGGAGCCACACATCCTCCAACAGCACGGGGACATTTACAGACAGTTACAGGCTGATCTGTGAGCTTGTCCTATCACAGGCCCTGGAACAATCAAGGCTGTATAGAGTCCCTGGTCTGCACATGAGGAAACTGCAATAGGGTTTGCCAGGGGACACCAACAGCCCGCTGAGCGCTGCCTACCCAGAAAATTCCCAATGTAGTTAATAGGCAAAATGATGCCCAGGGAGGGGATGCAGAGGATGAGCACATAGATGATGAGGTGATACTGGAACATGATGTAGATGCGCGCATCATCGCCACACTTGCTGATCAGGTCCCGGTCCCTGTGAGAGACATAAACAGAGAGAGCGTTCCTTGAGTACCAGATGACCACTGCTTCCCCGGGGATAGGTAGAGGAAGCAGTAGCAAAAGGATCACCTTCTTCCTAAGTTTCAATCTTGGGGAAAATATTTCTCTGATTCTCAATGCCTCAAGCGTGCCTGAGAGCATGCCAGTGAACACAGGTACATCAGAAAGGCCATGCTATGGCCACACAAGGGACCCAGGGCCCGGAGAACTCATCAGGCAGCTTTTCAGTCCTTCTGTGAGCATTGCAGGCTTGTGGTGCTGGCAATGGGCAAATGGCTATGATAACTCAGATGTGTCCCTTCAAGAAAGTTCTTTATTTTTCAGTTCCTTCAACTCAAAGGCAATGCTCCACACTGCCAAGTTGACCAAAGGGGAAGAGTAGAGAACAGCCAAGGGTAGGTGAGGGCAAAGGTGTTGGGAGCTTTCCTCTGCAGGAACTGAGTCTATGCACCGGCAAGACATGCTGGAGAACAGCTGGCCTTAGCTACTGAAGGTGAATGCATGCACACTCCATGAAGCAGCAATTTCACTCTAGGTGCTATCCAACAGAGAGATGACATACCTATCAAAAGATATGTATAACAATCTAAAGAATCTATAGGTGCCTCATTTATAACCACCCTGCCTGTCTGAGTATGATGCCAGTACCAAGTGAAGTCTGCCACAGTGAGAGGTGTTTTCTTGTCATCTCAGTCATTAGGAGGTAGAGGCAGAAGGATTAGGGATTCAAGGCTATCGTAAGCTACATGGCGAGTTCGAGGCCAGCCTGGACTATATGAGACTCTGTCTCAAAAATAAACAGCGAGGGCTGGAGAGATGGCTCAGTGGTTAGAAGCACTAGCTGCTCTTCCAGAGGACCCAGGTTCAATTCCCAGGACATGACTGTAACTCCAGTTCTAGGGATCTGGTCCCCTCACAAAAATATACATGGAGGCAAAACACCACTTTTAAAAGTAAAAGGATTAAAGGGACACACGCTTGTAGAGAAATTGGAAAATAAAAGGGAAAATAATTCTCTTATGATCTCATCAAACCTAAGATGATTTTAAAAGGTTTATTCATTTTTATTTATGTGTATGTGCCTGCCTACATGAGTTTATGCATAGTGTGTGCGCATAAACTTTGGAGGCCAGAGAGTGTTGGATCCCCTAATACTAGAGTTTGATGTGGGTGCTGGGAACTGAACCCGAGTCCTATACAGGAACAGCAGGTGCTCTGATGTTTAATAAGGCATTTTGAGTAATTTCTGTTTGCTCCTCATGCAGGTTTTTCTAAATGATGGTTAAGGTTTGAAGATGGGGTGTCCCCTCCAAAGCCGATCCACTGTGAGGTATGAAGGGGGTGGGCAAATGTGGACATAAACACCCACACACACGCACACATGCTCACAACCATGTCGTCTCCTCATTCATGGCTTTTCCACACCTACCCTTCTAGGCAAGTTCATTGGTTACCTTTAGATTCAAATATCTTGTGCAGGATTCAGAGTTTTTAAACATTACAACAAAAAGTACATCTAGGAGGTTTTCAATAACTTAATTTAGAGACTTATTCGGAGCTCCTGATTTTGTGTCTGTGAGTAGTTAAAGTATGTCCTTGCCCTAGACTCAAGAATCAAGTCCCAAGAATGGGATCTTGGAGAATTGATGGGAGAGTGTCTGTGGAAGAATGGGACATGTCTTGCTGCAGGCTTGGGATGCCATAGCTGGTCTCTGAAAGAAAAGCGTGTTGAAATGTGTTTACGGAGGTCGGGGGGCATCTCCAGAGATCCTCCAGATTAACAGACAGACAGGGTGGAGGGCTGGACTGGGCAGGGATAACAAGGTTTTCCTGTCTGGGTCAGGAATCCTGCCTCCAGTTCAGGATCCCTCTTTCCACCATTCTTGGTATTACTCCCCAGATCTCCTCCTGTTCTCCTTACTTCCATCTTCCTACACATCCCTTGGAAAGTAAGTTCTTTCCAACATTGGCTTACCCTAGAAATGCCTCCCCCAAGAAAGACCCAGACTGCGAAGGTAGACATGCCTGTGTGGACTTGTGTGATCTTACACCCTCTTCCTCTTCCTCTCTCGGTGAGGCCTCCATGGGCCTTTGCTGATCTTGCCCCTTAGGTGGCCCATCTGTTCCTGTCACTTCAACTTCAGTCTCTAAGCATCAGTCTGTCAAGTCTAAATCCTCTGCTCTGACTTGTCTCCTAAGCTTTAGTGCTGTTATTTCTACAGCTGGTTGGTCACCTCACATGCTTGCCTGAGCCATGTGTCATCATTTTATTTCCTCTCCCATCCTCTGCCTTTATTATTCTCCATCAAAACAAGAACTCAGCATTTTCCTGTAGACAGAAGTTTCTGTCCAGCCTGGTCCCACAACCATAGCCATTTAGTCCCAAAGAAACACACGGAGGCTTAAATTAACTATAAGCCTATTTGGCCTATTAGCTCAGGATTATTATTAACTAGCCCTTACATCTTAAATTAACCCATACTTCTTGCCTTTGTTTAGCCATGTGGCTTGGTACCTTTTCTCAGTAACACATCCTCATTTTATTTTCTCTGCTTCTGGCTGGTGACTGCATCTCTGCCTTTCCTCTTCCCAGAATTCTCCTAGTCTGGTCACCCCGCCCTATTTTCTGCCTGACTACTATCCAATCAGTTGCTTTTATTAAGCTAATACAAGTGACAAATCTCTACGTGTATAAGAGCATTATCCCACTGCATTTTCCTTTAAAATAAGCACATGGGGGCCTGGAGAGATGGCTTAGGGGATAAGAGCACTGACTGCTCTTCCAGAGGATCCAGGTTTGGTTCCTAGTACCCACATGGCAGCTCACAATTAACTGTAACCCATGCATGTGGTGCACAGATACACATGCCGGCAAAACAACAATACAATACAATAAATAAGTCTTTTTAAAAAAAAACTGGCATTTTAAGCTGGGTGTGGTGGTTCATGCCTTTCATCCCAGCACTTGGGAGGCAGAGACAAGATCTCTGTGAATTCAAGACCAGCCTGGTCTATAGAGTGAGTTATCTACAGCTATGTAGAAAGAGACCCTACCTCAGATAAAGAGATATATTAGATAGATAGATAGATAGATAGATAGATAGATGATATGATAGATTGATGAATAAATAAATAGGCAGACAGGCAGGCAGACAGATGGGGAGATAGATAAGTAGATATAGATTGATGGATAGATAGACAGGCAGACAGATGGACAGATACTTAGATAGATTAGATAGATAAAATTAAGTGAGGATGTGGCCTATTGACTGTTGCCCCACGATTCCCTCCCACTGTTGCCCTGGCCACCTCTCTAATTTGAGTGACAGCTGCCTCATCCCTGGACCACTAGAATAGCCTCCTTAGCCACTCACCTTGACTGTGGAGTTTGTCCACTGCTGTTCACCCTCATATTCCCATTTGTGGATCGAATCCCCATGGTCTCTATATGGCAAGCACAGTCCCTACAGACCCTTTGGCACCTTCTCACTTTACCACAGGGCCCTGCTTCTAGCTATTCCAGAAGTTTCACCAATTCTGGACACCCTCTACTCATCTCTGCCCCCAACCTTGTTCACATAGTCCTCTCCTGACATGTCCTCCGCATTTACTTCTTTGGATGTTCGTCTATCCTTCAAGCCCCAGCTCAAAAAGCACACTCTTCCTGAACCCCCTGGCGGCAGTTCCTTCTCTTTTCCCCAAATGCCCCTTTGCATGGCTGATTGTAACCCACCCCTTATGAAGGACACATGGAATCTTTGGGGCCATTGTTTCTCCGAGTAGACTGCAGAGGAGTTTGCACATAGGGACTCTGGCTGAGCTGACTCTGCTCAGTAAAAGATTTATCTGTCACCTAAGCCACTGGGCGCCAGATGTAATACAAAGCCCCGCTTTTCTGCCTTCCCATAGAGAATCCTCTTGATTGGAGCCTTGGGGTGGGGTAGGGATTGGGAGTCAGGATGAACATGGCTACACACAAGGCTCGTACATTGACCTTCTCACTGACCTGCACGTTCAGGCATCCACACACCAAAGCCTACACACACAGATTTGCAACAACACAGTGACCCGAATCTTCTGCACTTACTGACCTCACACTTGGAACATGAAGTCCTGTTGTTTTTAACCACTGCTCCATTGACACTGTCAGTTTTAATCTACAATTTGACACAATCTGGATAGATTCACCTGGGAAGGAAGCCCCATTGGGGGACTCTCTACATCAGGTGTGCCCGTGCTCTCTGAAGGAGATTATCTTGGTTACAATGATTAATAGGGGAAGACGTGCCTTCAGTGGGTGGTGGCACCATTCCCTAGGCAGGGGATCCTGTACCGTATCAGGATGGATAAAGCAAGCTGAGCACTAGCATGCAACGCTAATTTACTGCTTTCTGCTCTTGACTGTGGTGTAATGAGACTAGTTGCTTCTAGTTCCTGCTGCCTTGACTTCGCCAAAATGACAAGCTATAACCTGGAACTGTGAGCCCACCCTCCATCACGTTGCTTTTATCAAGGTATTTCAGCACAGCAATGGGAAACAAAACTAAGATTACTAAGAAAACTAAGCCAGCAATGGAGAAGATTACAATCCAGAAGGTCAGCTTCAAACTCCCTCTGGGGAGTCTTTTTCTCTACACTTGAGGACATGGTCAGTTGAGTGGACCTGTTTATCCTACTCTCTTTTCCTTGTTCCTACATGAAGGAAGGAAAAACTGCCCCACCCTGCTTCTGCCTGTGAATTTGCCAAGTGCATGAAGCTATAGCTGGTGTGCACTGCCTCCTGGGAGAACGAACGTTCAGACACGTGTTTGGATGCGGCTTGCCCTCCTGAGAGCACCTGGGCCACATGCCTGATCTCCACTATGTTAAGAAGTTAATCTGGGGAGCATTGCTCCCAGAAAGTAACTCCCATGGGAACCTGTCAGTTATTTCTCATGAGGATGAGTTATAAAAGCATCTCTCTGGGATTAGTGGGCCAGCCTGGGCTACATAATAGACTTTCTCTCAAAAATAAATATAATGAAATAGTGGAGTTGTGCCTGTATAAGAATGGCGGTAGACTTTAAACTTTCTAGCAATGAAAACGTGTGGGTTCTGGCTTGTGTGTGTGTTTGATAAATTAACAAAGCAAGCAAAGCCAGATGTGAAGACATCTGGAAGATTGCCCTCTGCTAGCTCACCTATGGCTCGGCATAGAGAAGCTGACACTTGCCCTCCACAAAACAATGGCTGCTTCATTTCTGGGGGACTACAATGAGGGAGGGAGGAGCAGCGGAGGCCAAGGTCACACTGAGCTCCCAGTGGATGACACAGTCCTAGGCACAGGTCAGGATTTCCATGACCCAGCCTGAGTTTCCTGGGACCCTGCAGGATCACAGATGGGAAAGAGAGATGCCCTGAGGGCTCCCGGGGGTGGGTCTCAGAAAGGCCTAGCTAGGAATGGTGGGTGTGGAGGAGCATGGAGTCTAGCAGCCTTTGCAGAGGGAAGCAGAGTAGCAGGGCCATCTGGTCTCTGCGGTGGCTGTTCTTGGTTGTCAGCCTCACTACGACTACATCTGGAATTAACTAAGACCCAAGGGCAGGGCATGACTATGAGGAATTTTTCTTTAGCTAAATCATTTGAGTAGGAAGATCTACTTGCAATGCAGGTTTTTGAGGTGGGAAGCTCCACCTTTAGTCTGGGTCACACTTTCTGCTGGCAGTTTCTATAAAGGGCATGGCAGAAAGAAGCTCCCTCACTGTCTGCGTGTTCTCACTGTCGCTGCCAAGTTCATTCCTTCACTGGCATTAGAGCCTGCTTCTTCAGGATCCCAGTGTCTACTGCAGACCAGCTCAGACATCCAGTCTTGTGGAATGAACAACTACTGGATTCTTGAACCTTCCCTTTATGGGCAACCATGGTTGATTAATTGAGCCACAATTTGTAAGCCATTCTAACAAATCACTGTTCTCTCTCTAGAGAAAGAGATTCGCTCTATAAGTTCTGTTCCTTTAGAGAACTCTAATTCAGTCCCTAAGGAATAGCAAGGCTGTACCCTGTGGAGCATGTGTCTCCAGGCCAGAAAAGACCCTGGAGAGGGGACAGGAGACAGGCAAAATTCAGGGAGAGTCCAGAATCATATGTGATGCTGAGCACAGCCAAGGAAAAGCTGTGTATATGTATGTGTGTGTGTGTGTGTGTGTGTGTGTATGGGTGTCCGTGCATGTGTTCATGTGTGTACGAGTGTATATGTCTATAGATATGAAAGGTCATGGGTGTACATACCTCTGTGCATGCCTGTTTAAGCCTGTTCGCATGTGTGTGCATATCTCTGCACTGAGGGTGCAGCCAAGTTCACTCTAATATCTGTCTATTCTACTGTAGGCTGAGAGTGGGTAGGTGTGAGAGAGCAAGAGTCTTTGGGTCTGTCTCTACAGAAACCCAGAAGGTAAGGTGAGCAAGAATCACAAGGCTGTGCCTTTGCCATCCAGGCTCAGAGAGGAGACGTCTGTCCTTCTGCTCCAGAGAACCGACCCTCCTTGACAATATGAACACAGAAATCAAGCATGTAAAGAAGGGTTGCCTTTCCTAGAGCAGAGTCCACAGGCTTGCTTTTGCATGCATGGGGTAACAATTCCACTTTACATGGGGGCCTCTCCCCAAAGGCTAAGGCCGAGGTGGCATGGTCACAGGGCAGGGCTCGGTTCCCATTCACCTGCTACAACCTGCCTACACTCAGAGAGGCTGGAAGCAGAGTAGCCGGTGGCACTCAGGCCTGTCATCCAGGGAGGGTCTGCTCATCTCTGCAACCCCTTCCTACCTCACCTCACCCCAGGGCGACACTAACAGAAACCCCGGGAGAAGCACTTACTTCATGGTTAGGCTGTTGAAGAACCAGGAACAGAAGCCCTGGAGGGGGAAAGAAGAGAAAGTGTGAGTAAAGCCAGCCTGGCTTATTTTGCCTGACTATGGGGACCCTGGCAGCAAAGCATTATGTTGGGAGTCTCCTTCCATAGATGGAGCTTTCTAGAATGGGTTAAGTGCTGAGGGAAATGTCTCCCTGGAAGTGAGCAGACAGCCTTGCCATCCTGATACAGGGAATGGGACTGAGAAGGAAGGTCAGAGGGACTCCAGGGTGGGGCTCCTCTCAGTCTCTCTGCTGCTGAGAAATCCTCATCCCCAACATACATGTGGTCTAGAGCTGTCCGTCATGTGTGAGTCAACCTTCAACAACTGGCTGGCCAAGGGGAAAGTGACCAAAAAAGGAGCTAATTAAAATTCTCTTAAGAGGCTGGATATGGGTGTTGGGAGTTTCTCTCCTTCTGTGTGCCTAAGTGCCACGAACCCTGCAGTGTCTTGATGCTGTCTCTGATGTCACATGAAGACGGCTTGAGCTCAAAGGACAGAAGGGGGGCCCTATCAGCAATGCTGGACTTCCGGTGTCTAGGGGTGCCTAAAGCAGCTGCTTGTCTTGAATCACCCCAAACTTGTGTTTTACATGACCCTTTCGTGGTAAAAACCAGTTCGACACTGCAGCTCAGTGTTTTTGTCTTGTTCCACTGAAGATGCCTTTCTCTTGGGTCTTGCTGTCTGGAGTTTCTAGGTAGCAGGGAAAGGCGGCCTCAACCATGGTAAAGCTGAGGGGAACCTCAGAGGGAGTCAGAGTATGAAAGCTCTCTGTGCAAATGAACTGGGGCCTGTGGCTCTCAGTTACCAGAGCTGCTAGTCAGTAAAGGGCCCTCATGCGTTTAGTTCCCTCTAAGGCCCCAGAAGGACAGCAAAAGCTAGGACAAGGCTGAATCTCTGGATCGGCCCTGTTCTGTGGGCACCGTTTCCGGGAACTAAGTGGGCTCATGAGACTGACAGACCTCTAGAACCACGGGGATTGGACAAAGGTCTTCCCTAAAAGGAAGCAGCAAGGGTGGGCAAAAGAAAATCAATTGTTCCCTTGGTACAAGGCCCACCCTTCCAAGCTTGGTTGACTCCCTCTTAAAGAAAGGCTTGCGTGTTGAAGGCTGGTCCTAGCTGGAGGCGCTATAAAGATCTGAGTGCGCTAACATCATTCGTGGGCCAGTCCATGGTTGGTCACAGGTAAATGAGCTCTTAGAAGGGTGGGGAGAAAGTAGGCCAGTAGGGCACATGTTTTTTTCTGAGACAGGGTTTCTCTGTGTAACAGCCCTAACTGTCCTGGAACTTGCTCTGTAGAACAGACTGGCTTCGAACTCACAGAGATCCACCTGCCTCTGCCTCCCAAGTGCTGGGATTAAAGGCGTGCGCCACTACCACAGTAGGGCACATTTTTGAAGACTATATCTTGTTCCTCATCTCTCCATCTCCCTCTCCCCATTAGCAGACGTGTCGGCTGAGCATAGATTGAGCCCTCTGAAATCAGAATAAGCCTAAACAAACCTTCCCCTGTAAGTTGTTAAGTTGTGGCTAACACAATGTCCTTGAAGCCAGAGCTCTTCAGGAAAGTCAGGAACTGAAAGGCAGTTGGGGAGGCAGACATTCCCACCCCACAGGGAAGGGCCACCAGCTTCCAGGAGCTGACCAGGGAAGAGAGTGAGTGACAGCATTGTCACAGTGGGCATCTCTCTGTCGCCACCCTCCACACCCTCACTCTACAGGGTTAATAGCAAATGCCTGACTTAGCTGAGCACTTCAGTGGGGTCCGCTTGGCTGAGAGCTGCACGGTAAGAGAGGTACCCCTCTGTGCCTGTTCTCCTCCTGCACTGTAGCAGAGGCTACCCCCATGCTTGCCCTCCTCCTCCTCCCATAACAATTTGCCTCCTTAGTTTTTCTTTCTTTTCTTGTTTGGCTTTTAAGACAAGGTCTTACTACATTCCAGTCTGGCTTAGAACTTACTATGGAGTCTAGACTGATGACTGGCTTCTTGATTTCTAAGAAAGAGAATAATCTTTTTATCATTACAAAACACAGACACATAGGCACGGGGCAGTGTGTCTGAAAATAAGCCTGTGTGTCACCGTCGTCCTTTGACCTGGAGTCTCCAAGAGCCAGCCTGACTCCCTGAAGCTTCATGTATTGGATGAAGCACAGCCTAACAAGAGGTCTTGTGAAGACAGGCTGGTCTCTTGAAGGGGTGGCCACAGAAGGAACAAACGTGTTTCCGCTGACCACACACAACAGATCTGTATGGTGTTAATCACAGCATGGGTTCGTCTGGGTACTCAGATGTAGGAGTCACAGGGGGAAGAACACACAGGAAGCTGGCCATGCAGACAAGGGGTCATTTCAGCTGGGTTAGGGATGTTAAAGAAAAAGAATGCTCTCTCCGTAAGTGGAAAACAGAAGTCTGGGATCCAAAAGGGTTGGTTAGGGTTCCAGGATGAGAAGACTCTAAAAAGGGCTGCTGGGGAAGGAAGGGGAAATAGGTGGAAATCTCTGAGATGGGAAAGAGGCAACATCCACTATTGAGACACAGATTGGATTTGGGGCAAGGGAGCAAACTGACAGGCCGTGGAAGACATCTGCAACAGATCGGAAAAGCATTAGGAAGATAGTGAGAGCAAGCGCAGAGACCAGTGTCTTGGGTCACAGCGATGGCTCTGGATACAGACGGAAGATGAATGGGGCGGGAACAAGGGAGGCCCTTGGGAGATCACTTCGAGCTGCTGAGGCCATCCGGGCAAGAGACCGGTGGGGGCCTGAGCAGGGCTGACTGGGGAGGAACAAGACCATGAAAGTCAAGGCATCCCAACTTGGGGAAGGGATGGGGAAGGAAAGGTGCCTGGATAAGAGTGAAACAAGACAGGGCTGAAGTCGGGGATCAGAAGTGGGGGGAGGGTGCCTCAGAGGGATCAGAAGTGGGTAGAGGGTATCATGGGGTCTTTTAGGGTGTCACTGGATAAGAGGGGTTAGAGGCCTTCGGGACTAGCAGGAAGGGCATGTTGAGAGGTAGGATGGCCGTGGTGACAGCTGAGGTTGTGAGAATGGATGTCATGACTCGGAGACAGAGAGTGTGAGGCAGAGGGAGGGGGCTTCGGACAGCCAAGGGACTCTAACAGGGGAGGACTCTGCAAAGGGGACAGAGGTGTCGGAATGAAAATCCCCGTAGAGCGTGCCATACTGAACGCACCTGCTGAAGGCAGAAAGAGGCCTCCAGTGTGCCAAACTTTCTGACATTGTGATATGACACTGTCATCTACAAACGAGTCAGGCCACATTCATAGCCCTCCTGGGACACGTGACCCTCGCCAACAGTTGGGTTATGCCTCTTTTTCTGAGAGACAGGCTAAGATGAGGACTGAGGAGAAACCACTGATGGCCTTGGGGTTCTGGTGGAGTCAGGCGGAGATAACGCATTTGAGAAGCTTGGGGAGGGGTGAGAGGTGAGGAAAAAGACCACTGTCTTGTCAGCTGATGAGTCTGGTGGGAACAGCAGCATGGTGCTCGTGAGGAACACGCATAGCCCTTCTACTTCCTCCCCTCTCCATTCAGATCTCTGCTCAAGGGTGATGTCAGTGCTCAAATGATCGCTACCCACGATGCTGTCTCACCCTTGACTAGCATAAGCCTTTCTTTTTCCCCTTTCCCAGCATGCACTCATCACTGTCCTGGCTGCATTTATCTGTTTGCTTCCCATTCCCTGGAAGGAAGTACCATGAGGCAGGACTTGGTCCATGGTCCCCTGTCCCAGGGATGCATTGAACACATCACAGGTACAAACGAATGGCAAGAGGAGAATTCCATAGGAAAAAGAAAGCAGAACACAGCAGTAGACAAGGTGAGGAGCCCTGTGTGATGAAAGGGAGGCACTCTAGGACCTAGGGATGGTTAATACTTCCATCTTCGCAGCAGGCAAACTGAATCTGGGGAGGCTGAAGAAGCAGCTTCTATGCTGTGCACCATGACTGCCTGCCCAGTGCTGGGTTCCCTTGGGGCCCAGACCTCTTCCAGCACTCACCTTGTCCCGACGTTCCACTTCCAAGGAAATCTCGGAGGGAGATGACTTCTCACTTTGTTCCCCATAGATCAGCGAGGTCAGGCTGCTCACCAGGAAGGGTGGCAGGGAGGTAGAAAAGGAGAAACGAAGTCTCAGACACCTGCCTTGTTTCTTCCCTGTTCCCTAGCTGGGGGACACCGGCTGTTCTTTCTCAGAGCTGTGAGCTGTAGGCCTCAGCTTCTAAACTGAACACACAGCTCCAGGGCCAGACACGGCCATTTCTGTTGCCAGGCGCATAACGCACTTTGGGAGTCTAGCCATGGGTTCCAGGAAGACCAGACAGAAACATGGCTTTATGCTCCAAGATGGCTGCCCTCCATGTTCCTGTCCCTTCAGCGAGGTCAATGCAGGGGCAAAGGCGAGGGAGAGGGAGCCACTCTCTGAGGAGACACTTCCTGCAGCTTTGGCACCAGGCAGGGTCTCCCAAGGGAGTGGGGTGCTCACCATCCTGCACCCCCCCTTACCTGTCATTGTGTATCAGCAGAGCCAGGCGCCCGTAGTCCCACGCGGCTTTCCGGAGGAAGGAATAAAGCAGGACAACAAACTGCAGACCCAGAAAAGCAAGGTGGAGCCGGAGACTTCTCACATGCTGCCCCACCGCTGCACCAGCCGCCTGTATTCCCACGGGGGACCCTTCCACCCCTGAAGTCTACAGCATGCCCCTCCATCAGATGATAAGTTCTGACTCGGGAAGAGCTGTGCCTCTGCACGGAGCGTTTCCTGACCCAGCGCAGATGGTCAGCTTGTTGAATGGTGGAGCTGAGGGTGCGTTCAGAGCAATTGAACAAGAATTCCCCATGACAACATCAGCAAGAGGACAACGCAGGAAGGTCCAAAGGATGTAAAGAGACACAAGAATACTGCCTCTTCCTCCAACCCCAAAGCCCTCCCTCACTGAGCCACCTAGGCTGCGCCATCTCTGTGGCTGGTGTCCTTTGAGTAACTGGGATCCCCACTGTAGTCTTCACTATCCACCACCCACCCCGGCTAAGCTCTCCCCGTGTCTCTCCCAGAGCACCAGAGACTTACCACCCATAAGATGAGGTTAAGTACGAGTACAGTGGGGATCCCCCCAAAGGGCTGCCCCTGGAGGACAGTGCTCCGAGACTGGAAACACTCGTTCACCGTCATGTTGTGGGGCTTTGTGCTCAATTCCTCTAAAGAGGAAGACATCCTGGGCACACTCAGGCTCCCGGTCTGGTGGAAGGTCTCAGACTCAGGGAAGGCTCCCCACTCTGCAAAACACAGAAAGATGCTGGGGAGTGTGGGGACATGCACTGAGGACACCGCTCAGTTAGGCTGGGGGGACTCATGAGACCCAGGGGCCAAGGATGGGTTTGAAATTATGGCATCAAGGGAGAAGAGCTGGTTCATTTGGGCTAAAAGCTTACAGCCCCATAGCTATGCAGACAGAGTAGCTCCAACCCCCTGAGTGATTCCTTATTTTATACTGCTTGGTCCTGTTTTAAAAGTTGCAAAGACTGGACAGTGGCTGCACATGCTATCAATTCCAGCACTTGGAAGACAGAGGCAGGCAGATCTCTGAGATCAAGGCCAGCCTGGTCTACAGAGTGACTTTTCGGGACAGCCAGGGTTCACAGAGAAACCCTGTCTCAAAAACCATTTTTTAATTGTTAAATGCAAATGTAAATGTATCTTCCTGTTGCTCTCCTGTGGAACTCCTTTTACATAGAAACTGGCAAAGCTCACAAACGGAAGCTGGATCCCAGAGTAGAAAAGTTCAGGCTGGCAGACAGAGCCACCCATGTGGACGGGGCTTACTGCTGTTCCCCTGTACATTCTATGACTCTCTAAGAAAGGCAAGACCCCTAAGGATGCAGGATGCCTAGTACAGAGGAGTGACCCAATAAACTCCTGGTCTAATGTAATTTATAGTGTGTGCGTGTGAGCGCGCGCTCGTGCGTGCACACACGAGGACTGCCTTAGGTGTCATTCTCGGGAATGCTTTATGTCTCTTTTGAGACAGAGTCTCTTGAATTAGACCAGCCTGGCTATCTAGCACACCCCGGGGATTTCCTGTTTCCACCTCTCCAGTGCTGGGACTACAGCCAGCCACACCTGACACTTTCATGTGGGCTCTGAGGACTAAACTTGTGTGCCCGCACATTTGAGGCAAGCATTGCACTGACTGAGCTATATCTGTAGCTGGCGAACTCCTGGTCTTGTCTTAGAAGCAAGCAGACCAGCACCTACCCAGGTCTGCACTCATTCAGTAGAGCTGGGCATTACGGTAAGCCCCAGATGCAAAGCATTAGAATTTTTCAGGTATGGCTAAGAGTGGCAGCGCTCAAATTGGCCTGCAAGCCTGTTTGACCGCCAAAGACTTCCGCTTTGGCTCTAGATCTTACCCTGTCCTGAGTCTCTTTGCTCTCATTCAAGAGAAGTCTTATTTATTCAATCAATCAATCAATCAAGCAAGCAAGCAAGCAAGCAAGTAAGCAAGCAATCATTCAAATATTTTGTGATCAACTGCTTTGTGCCATACATGTGCTGGTGTTACCACAATGATATGACAAATAAAAAGCCCTTCTTCATGGTACCCTAGTGAAGAGGAACATACAGGGAAAGAGAGCATCAGTGACCACTGCGGATACCAGCCACTCTTTCATGGGTATGGGGAAATAGCCTTCTAAGTAAATACAGAGGTCTCCCAGTGTGTCGAGTGGGGACAAACAGACTCTGTGGCTGGACAAGGGATGCTGAGGATAGGCATGTATCACCTAAGTTTTAAAGGATACAGGAATAAGGAAGGGACAAAGCAGCAAAGAGAGGATCCTCAGGATCCAGGCAGTGGCAGTCTGGCTGCCCGAAGAAGGCAGAAAGCAGCTGGACACTTTGAACACGGAGTCAGCAGGAGCTCCTAGCAGACTGGATGGGGAAAATGATAGACGGACAGAAGTCGGGATGACTCTGGGGTTTTCAGCCTAAGAAACTGAAAAAAATAAAATGGAGTTTCTGTTGCTGGCTGGAAAGATGGGGAAAGAGGAGAATGGAGTGCAATCGTTTGTCTAGGCATATTAAGGAGCTGTGGGTGTGGACCCAGAAGACAGCCTGGAGATATCAGCACGAGACAGAGGCCACCAGCATAAGCATCCCTCAGAGGCAAAGGACTAGACCACCAAAGGAGGGGTACAGAGAGGGAGGAAAGAACAGAGGGGTCAGGGTAGAAGTCAGTGACTGGGGATCAGCTGATAACTGTCTACAGGAGAGGTACCACTGCTGTAGAATAGTCTATCTGTACACTGTGAATATGTATTACTCTCACTGGTTAATAGTTAACAGGTTGGTAGTCAGGCAGGAAGTATAAGTGGGACAGCTGGACCCAGAGGACTCTGGGAGGAGAAAGGGCAGAGCCAGGAGAGACATCAGCCAGCCCTCCCAGGAAGCAGGATGGATAGAAAATGAGGTAATAAGCCAGCAACCATGTGGCAAAGCTTAGATAAGAAATATGGGTTAATTTAAGTGTAAGCCTGAGCTATTGGCTGAGCGTTTATAAGTAATATTAAGCCTCTGTGTTGATTATTTGGGAACTGATAAGAGACAAATGTCCAACAGCATATGGTGCCCGATGTGGGGCCAGACTCTCCATGTAAAACCCGACAAAAGCTTAAAAAGGAATTCTAGGCACACAAGGACAGAGTCAAGCACCGTTTCTTTTTTATTTCCTGGGTGAGCTCTGTTTGCTGGTGGTGAGCAGAGGGGTAGCTTCTTCAAGAGATGGCTTCCTGGCTCAACGCTAGTGCTAGAGGCAAAAACAGGTGGCTCTTTTAAGAGGCCCTGCTACCAAACATGTATATGATGTTTATGAACAGTGGGCAGTTACTCAGTGGCAGCGTGGACCCAAAAACTTCCCAGAGTTAGGGCAGTACACATGGTTCCCAGAGCTAATGGGAAATGTACCTCCGCCATAAGACTAGCCTCTCAGGAAACACAGGGGAGGAGCCAGCTGCCAACATGCCATGATTTAAGTTCTACAGCAGGTTTGTTTATTTATTTTCTCATGCAGACAGAAAAGGTTACAGATGCACAGTTAGGAGAGGTTCAGACAAAAAGAGCCTCTAAATGGGTCACCGTGTATTTAAAAATATGTGTAGGCTTGGGAGAGAGAAAAAAAGGAATATATAGAGTCAGATTAAAAATACAAGTTTAAAATAATAAAGTCCTTTAAATATAAAGTAATTAAAATATAATAAGCTATGTAAAGATGAGTCCAGAGAGTCTGGATCCTGCATGTTATTATGCTGTCTTTGAATGATTTGGCTACTAAGAGATATCGGATTATGGAAACTGCTGGATTAAGCCAACCTATATATTTTAAAAATATCTTGACTTCAAAATCTAAGTCAAAAGATAGGTCGCATCACAGGAGAAGTTATGCTTTTGTTCTCACAGGAAACGAGAGGCTATGGGTTCATTCTGGGTTAAGGAAAATCAGGTTTGATCAAGAAAGACCTACTAAAAATCTTGGCTATAAACATAAAATAAACCTAAAAGAACTACAAGACAGGGGCTGGAGAGATGGCTCAGTGGTTAAGATCATTGCCTGCTCTTCCAAAGGTCCTGAGTTCAGTTCCCAGCAGCCACATGGCGGCTCACAACCATCTGTAATGGGGTCTGGTGCCCTCTTCTGTCCTGCAGGCATACACACAGAATATTATATACATAATAAATAAATAAGTATTTTAAAAAAGAACTACAAGACACATGATTTATATTTTATCTGCTCAAACACATAGCATAAAATCATCTTTAACTGATTTGTGTACAATACACAATCTATACTTGCACTAATACAGATAAATATGTTACCTTTAAAAGTTTTTATATGTTCAGAGCAAGGGGACCAAACACCAATGAAAACGATGACCCAGGTGGTCCAGCATCCAGAGCAGCTTCCAGGCTGCTGACTGAGATGACTCAGCCCCACAGAATACTACAGGCGAGACTTAACAATCATCCTGATTTTCTCAAGGTTCGCACAAAGATTATCAGCACCCCCAACCAACAGTAAGTAGTCTAGAGAACTACATCCACATCAAAAAATGAGTTATGGATATTTATCATTCAAGGGGTTTGGTTACAAGTTGTTAATGGTAATGTCGGGGGAAAAGGATGAGCAAAGGAGGTTAGATTCAGGAATTTTGTTCTAAAAAGAAAAGGGGGGATGTAGAAATGCTAGGATAAAAGGATTGATTGTTAAATCTACTTTAACCCAAAAAAAACAATTATTAATCTTAAATATTTTATATTGGTAGGATTTTGGTTTACTGATACAAATTTAAAGTTAATTTTGTTATACTGTGTGTATATTTCTACTCCTGTTTGGGGTACTGTGCTTATGCAGTTCCTTTAAAAATGTAGTGTACAACTTAAAAATACAGATTAATAGCCAGTCATCTATAACAGTCAAACGTACAGTCATGTTAGGCATATTTTCTAGGTCATATACAGATATATTTAGATAGATAGATAGTCTTCAAACACTTCAAAAATCTACAGAATATGACATTTAATATGTTTAATAACCTAAGGCTTTTTTGTTGTTGTTGTTGTTTTTTGGATTTTCGAGACAGGGTTTCTCCGTAGCTTTTTTTGGTTCCTGTCCTCGAACTAGCTCTTGTAGACCAGGCTGGCCTCGAACTCACAGAGATATGCCTGCCTCTGCCTCCCGAGTGCTGGGATAACCTAAGGTTTTTTATAACAGTGAGACACATCTGGCAACACTGATCTACTTCAGAGAAGATGATGAACATCGAGAAAACTCCATTTGGAGTTTTCTTTCTTTAGGGCAAAAGCTAGTCATGTACACATACAAAAATCTGCCCTTTTCTCAATTGCTGACAATATACTCTCCAAACTGGACCAGCAGGACACAAAAAAGGTGACAGCCAAGTCCTTCAAAAATCCCTGCTTCATAAAATAGTCTGTCAGATATGCTAGGCCTGTAGGTCAGAAATGGATTTCCCCACATTGCAGAGGAACTTTGGATACCTGTTGGCCTTAGTGTCCGTCATTAGCTATATTTCACCCTTACAGGCTCTCTGATGGAACTGAAGACTAGATAGTTATAGCTTTCTTTAGTTATAATAAAAGGGAAATTAGGTACAAAACTTTGGATTCACAAAGATAAGATAGATAATAAATACTTTCTCTGTTTTTCTCAAATACAAATGGACTGGATACTGTAACTGCAATTCTTACTTAATACTGTTCA